AACTTAAATTTAAAAAAAATATTTTTATGCGTAAAGAGTAGAAATTTTTGAATCCCAGTCCTATAGTCCAACTCTCCATTTTAAACTATACAAATTAATACCATCATCATGCGCTATGTGTTGCATACCTGAATGGACAGTATTTTTTTTTCTTACCGGCCAGAGTTGCATGGACAATCGGAATTGCCAACCGTTTCTTCTTATGAAGTTTCTCAAGGGAAAAGATTTTGGTCTGCAAGTTCACTCAGAGTAATTCAGAACTACTACCTCCAATCCTAATTATAAGAGCTAGTTGATTAATTTGAAGAGATTAAATAAGCAAGTGTTAAATAGTTATTTATAATAAATAGGTGTTGTTTTTCTTAAAATATCATTGCTAATCAAGTATATTGACAGAACTACCATTATTAGAAGGACTATCTTGGAAAAAAATACATAAATACGACGACAAAGTGAATTGGGATTTATAATTAGGACCAAAATAAAAGTCAAACGAGGTTTTATATTAAGGACCGAAGGTAGTAATATCCAATTTTACTCGAGAGAGAGAGAGAAGAAGAGAGAAAAGTAAGAACAATTTTTAAATACTATCTTTGGTCTTAAATATAAAAGTTAGTTAAAAAACTTACACATATGACCTCAATTCATTGTATCTTCCAATTTTATAACGTGTTCTAAAAAAAATCTCTATTGATTGTAAAGTATTTCTATCAAGGAACAAAAAACCAAGTCAAATACTAAACAAGTTAAGATAATGGTTCAAGGACAATGGGTCAAATGGGGTCAATTCTGGATCAAATCAAACATATTAAAATAATATAATTTAATTAAAAATAACGAAATAATTATTAATGTTAAAACCATCATTGAAATTCATTAAAATCTATAGTGACCAAGAGATATTAGGAGTTGAATAAAAAAAATAGAACTAATAACAACATAATATCCAAACCAATTTATTACCAATTCACCTCGATTTTCACCAGTTCACCTCGATTTGATTGGGTTGATGTCAGTTCAATTTCTAGCTAGTCCAGTACTCAAACTAGACTAGAAGGGTGTTTGGGTAAGAACAAAACCATAGTTTCAGAAGTACTTTTACAGTATATGAAATAAATATGTAGAGAAGTTTGTCTCGATTTACGAAAAAGTGTTTCTGAAAAGCATTTCTAGAGTTAGCCAAACACCTCCTAGACCATTGGTTGTTTCAACAGTCAGTGGTTCGATTTGATTTTTTTTGCCCTACGATTTTCACCCAAATATAGTTTCAATATATATGATTGAATAAGAATAATTTAAAAAAAATCAACACATACTTGTTACAATATAACTAATTTAACTAATTTTTTAATCTCCCTAAATTAGTTATCTACCTATTATATAAGAATCGGAGGCAATGTGGGGGTGTATATATATAAAAAGAGAGAAAATTTCAACAATAGTACAACTTGAAAAAATTTATCAATTCAAGACATATTTAACGACTTCATTTTCATTTCTTGACACGTGAAAATCACTCGAAGGGATTATAAGTACCAGAGTGGCAAGCATATTAACCAAAATTTAATCGCAAAACACAATAGGTGTTACTGTAAGTACATCGCAATCACAAATGAATCAGACACCACACCCTCCCTATTCGACTTCGTAGAGCTGGATTAGACGAAAAATATCACCGACGAAGAATAGTAGCAATGTTTTATACTATTTTGGAAAAACTAATTTAACTTTTAATTTAATCTTAAATATAAGATTCCAAACCAGTTTATCTTTTATATTTATGTGGTGTTTTCCAAAGTAGTCTGTATATCAGTTGCACATGCTAAAGTCCTATCAAATGGTAGTTTTGACTAATACACATGATTAACGATTAGCAAGGGTATTTTAAAAAGACAACAACTATTTATTATAAATAACTAACTTAACTAATTTCGTTAATTTTTAAATTAGTCAATTTTAACTCTTATATTAAGAACCAAAGATAGTATATTAAAAGAGTTTGGATTGGATGAACCCTCGAGGAGAATAAGATCCCAACTAATTTATACACCAGTCGATCTGGAACACAAGAACAACGAATAGCTGTTGAGATCAACTTTGAAGTCTGAACTATAGTTTCTCTAAACTTTGAAGTCTGAACTATTGACAGTGCTAAAATCATTGGGATTAATCAACTATAGTTTCATTAACCTCCCCATCAACTCACCAATAATCACTGCATGAACAAGCTCCGTCCCTAAAGTGGTGAACCTACGAATATCTCGCATGATGATTTCTCTACTCATGAGCTTAGAAACCATTTTCATTACTGTATGACAATCCCCACACACACGAAGATTCTTCGTTATTCTGATTGTGGTCGATGGATCAGTATTAATAAGAGCAAAGGCAAGCGCCAACCTCTCGCTATGGTCCCAAAGCATCTTCTCCTTTACTTCTTCCTCAACATCATGGAGAACTGAATCTGTGTCAGGCTTGTAACCAACATTCTTAAGTTGCCCATTCAAGTCCTTTAATTTGGTATAAATATCTTCTGATTGTTGGTGGGATTTATCTCCAGCAAAAAATTGATGAACCATGTTATTTAGCTCGACCAAACTGTAACCAGGCGGTTTCCTTAATCTCTTTCTTCTCACCAGTGCCCTCACTTTTCAACATCACTCCATCTTCTCTCAGCAGCATATATGTTGGAAAGGCAAACATAACTGCTTACTCCTTTTGGGTTCATTTCAAAAAGCTTATGAGCTGAGATTTCGGCTAACTTCACATTGTGGTATAATCTGCAAGCAGACAAGAGGGAATTCCATATATCATAATTAGGTTTCACTTTCATATCATTTATGATTGCATATGCCTCATCTAAGTTCCCTGCTCTCCCTAGAAGATCCACCAAACAAGCATAATGAGTTGCTTTAGGTTCTACATTGTACTCCCTCATCATTTTGTAGAAAATTTCTTTACCTTCATCAACTAATCCAGAATGACTACATGCTGATAAAACGGAAGTAAACATGCCTTCGTCTGGAATAATATTTTTTCCCAGCATCTCATAAAACATGGAGATGGCCTCTTTTCCCCTCCCATGAATCCCAAATCCTGTAACAATAACAGTCCAAGAAGCCAGATTTCTTTCAGGCATCTCATCAAAAGCACGACGTGCACTAGGCAAACTTCCACATTTAGTGTACATGTCAAGAAGAGCAGTACCGACTGCAGTATTTGCACCAAAACCATTTTTAACAATATATGAGTGAATAGACGATCCCAATTGCAATGCCGAGATTTGATTACAAGCACCAAGCATAGAAATAACAGTTGCTTCATCGGGAACTTCATTTTCCATAATCATTTGACAGAAAAGTTGCAGGGTTTCAAAAACATCTCCATGTCGTTCATAACCTGAAATCAAAGAATTCCATGATATAATATCCTTCATTTTTAATTTTTCAAATAACTTCCTTGCATCAGATATTGAATCACAATTGCTGTACATGTCAATTAGGGAATTCGTTAGAAACTTGCTGCATAGTTTACCACTATTCCGAACAACATAACCATGAATAGCCTTTCCACTTTTAAATTCGTAAGATCACCACAGCCACTAAGGAGAGCAAGTAAAGTTGTTTCATCTCCACGAAATCCAGCATTTTTCATGTGATCAAATATTATAAACGCATCTCTTGCTTTTCCATTCTTCACATAACCTGATATCATAGTGTTCCAAGATGTTAAATCCCTTACAGGCATATTATCAAACAGCATTCTTGCCGTTGCCACATACCCAAATTTGGAATACATTGAAAGCAGAGAATTCCCTACATAAATATCAGATGCCAAGCCTGTAATCAGCACCAATGCATGAATTTTTCTGCCGATTTCATTGAGCAGCAGATCACCGCACGCTTTGAGAACATATGGGTAGGTAAAATTATCTGGCTTTCGTCCAACACTGATCATTTGACGATACAGAACAAGAGACCTCAAGGCATTCCCATTACAGGAATAACCTCTAATCATGAAATTCCATAAAAAAGAACTCTTAAAGACAATTTGGTCGAATATTACCTGAGCTTCAGCCATGCGACCGCAGCCAGCGTAGCAGGCAGCGATCTTGGTATTCAGATAGGTGTTGTGTACCAGAGTACCGCAAGTGATCATGTGGGCATGAAGTTGCAGGCACTTTCCGTAGGATTTGGTATTGGTGAGTGACTGCAACACGGTTCCGCATTGTAAAGAGGTGAGCGGGCAGATAAGACCTTGTTCTGTCAAGCGAGTGACGGTGGTGTATGAAGATTTGAGAAGAAGGGCTTTATCGCTACACCATTTAAGCATGAGAGAGAAGGTTCCATTCATGAAGGAGAAGCACAGCGCCAGCACAAAGGCAAAGTATATTACTATTTAGTAGAGCAGAGTCCGCATTACCTGCGCATCGCATTTATAAGCACATAAAGCTCATCACCCAAAAACGTATCGTATGGATTAGTGGAAGAATCAAGGCCGTTCAATCCTCCATATTTCAACACACTGAGATCGACAAGTACAGGGGGTGGGTTTCCACATTCCATTCATCAAGTTTTCCGGCATCTTCGAACCTGCAAAAGAATAACTGGGAGGATGAACGAGCAGAACAACATGACAGAGGAAGAAGAGGGAATCGAAAAGAATAACAAAGGAGGAGGAAGGAAGAGAACCAGTGCTTAATCTCATTCTAAACAAATGCAGGAACTGAATCATGTAAAGATGAAATATATGGACAAATAGTTGAACTACGTATCTTTGAAGAACCAAAATATCCATGTCATCTATAAATAACCTTAATTAAGAGAATCTGACTTTTATCCAGCTGTTATCAGACATCGCACCAACGCTCCTATGAATACAACATTCAATAATTTTTGGTTCATAGCATAGTTCAAGATCTTACACGAAAGTCACTTTCCTGAGATAGAGTCAGGGATGTAGATGCTTTCTTTAACTTGCAACTTATGGTTTTCTTCTTTCCACCCTCAATAACTATGAGAATTATTAGAAAATTTAAAGATAAAACAGCAACAATATTAAAGCAGAGAAGGTAATGAAACATGGCTGAAGGATTTTGATGCTGTAATTACTCAATAGGTTAGCAAAAGACTAAAAATTTGGTGACGCATTATCTCCTAATGATCATTCCATTACCCAGAGCAGGACTACAGGGAAAAGAGGAAGAAGAATTCATCTGGGGCCAAACGTTGATCACCTGAGGCGACGGGAATCAATCACTGGAGCTCGATTGCCGTTCCTATCTCTTCCCTTCCGGCGTTGCGTGTCTCTGTTGCGCTTGAGGCAAAAATCACTGGAGCTCGATAGCCGCGAGTCTCCGACCTGTGCATCGGGCATCAGCCACCGGAGCCCGAACACTGTTTCCACCTCCCTCTTCTCCGTCGCGGGTCTCGTCGTCAGATTGAAGCAAAAATCCATAAATCCCCGTTAAATTTGACGGCCATGATCAGTTTATAGTTAACGGTTCAGATTGCGCCTCTTAAATTTGAACGACATCGTTTTAGGTGATGAGCACATGGCGCCCCTCCATGTTCCATCCGATGGTAAGGAATGTGGACTCCATTCCGCGAAGTCAAATTTTGGTCAGATGATCTTGCCTTGACTGCGTTATAGTTTGATGCAAGACAGCGAAGGTGATGAATCGTAAACTTGGTTAGCTAGGGTTTGAATTCCAAACCTAATTATGCAATCATGTCGAAATCAGACGCTCCAAAACCCAATTCCGCCAAAGTTCACCCCTCTAATGAGCCCGAGTTTGATCCCAATTCCTACGCCATGGAGAAGTTCCGGCTCTACGAAACCAGAGCGGTAAGTGATGAATTCTGTATGGCTGCATAGAAAATGCTGGAACTGCAATATTAGATGACATAACAAATGGTTTAATTCTGAGGAGCATTTTATTTCCAATGTGTTGTTTTTCAATCATTGCTCAAGCAAATGTTCTTTAGCTGGTAGAGTTGTGAACTCTTCATTTTTGCTTTCTGGATGTTCATTTCGGGCACTGACGGTTTATGATAATGGGTTCTCAAAGCAGAGATTTTATTTAATCGGAAGTGACCGTAACAAGAGGTTTTTTCGAGTCTTGAAAATTGATCGATCAGAGCCCTCCGACCTCAGTATTAGTGAAGACCCTGTGGTATATACCCCTCAGGAAATCAAGAACCTTCTTCAGCGAATCGCAGAAGGCAATAGGGCCACCGGCGGCCTGACATTTGTGACAAAGGTTTATGGGATTGCAGGTCAGTATCTGCATCAAGTGGTTCTTGATATTATGATTTTATGGGCTTGGGGACTAAGTGGTTTTATTTGTTGTCTTTAGGCTGCATCAAGTTTCTGGAATCATATTATTTGATTCTGGTTACCAAGCGCAGACAAATAGGTTGTATATGTGGTCACGAAATATATAGCATAGAGGAGAGCCAATTGATAACAATACCACATCTCTCAATGCAATCTGAAATCGCTCACTCTAGAACTGAGACAAGGTAATGTTTTTTGCCCCTTGTATCATTTGTCTTTCACTGTGTTGATAATTGTTCATAAACAGTATTTTCGTGAACAAACCTAGAGAAATTCCTTTGTTGGGTTCCTTTTTGGTTGTTATCAAATGATTTCTTTAGTCACAAGATTAAGCAAGATAATACATGCTGGATGTAAATGACGTGCCTTGTACTTGTTGGCTTCAAGGTTCTTGTATTCTAAATTTATTAGTGTCATAGCTGTGGCAAATTTTTGCATATGTTTGTTGGTCATACTGCTCAATAACACATCTAATTTAAAGTTTGAAGTCCCTGGTAATATTCATTGTTTCTGTGTTTTATTGCAATAATTATATTAACAGTGATTGCGAACTGCTGTAATTTTGACCTACTAGGCTAATCATTTTTGTTTTGCTGTTCAGCTCTAGGAATTTATAGTGACTTGTGCATGTTTCTTAAGCCGTTTCTGATGCAAAATGACTGATGGAGGATGTATTAAAATAAGGTCATTGTTGTTGGATCTAGGGACTGGGTTCCAAACTATGCTTTATTTTTATTTGTGTTAGCATGGCATCTTTTTTTTGGAGCGAATGTGTAAATTGCGAGGATTGATTTCTGCTCTTGCCCTGTGGAACGGACTTGTGTTCTTGGTATTTATATAGAGAGGAAGGCCCGTATTATCTTAATTGACTTTTATTGTGTTATTTGTTTTGGACCACGAGTCTAGAATTGTATTTTTGGCTTCCCTTTGGTGTTTGGTTCATGGTCTCTTTAGATTGCTGTTTCTTTTGACTTTGACTAAAGAGTCTGGGCTCCTCTCCACAGGAAAAGATCTGATCCTCCCTTTTATTGCTTTTTCATTTTAATAAAATAAAATATTTTTCTCCAAGAAATTTGAAAACAGGGAGGAGCATATGTTTTGTGGCACAAGTGGCAGCCACCTTATTGAATCTAATTAACTGCAATGCGTGTTGTAGCTAACTTGTGAAGGAAAGTAATGTAAATCGACACATGTTGAATTAAAGGTTATGTTGAAGAAACTCCAAGCCTTCATTTGTCTTATAGTTTTTCTTTGCAACATGTTTAATTTTCCACCTATAATCATCTGTACAGTTTATTTGTTAGACAATATACTTGATGCATTTAATTATGATCTCTCTTTACTCTTGATCTTAATGTGGGAGAAGAAGCTAACTGATCTAGAAATTTAGTGGAAATCATTTTTTATTTACAATTATTTTTGTTACAGTATATGCTTGACTGCCAGGCAACTTATGCTTATAAGTTCTTTCTACCAGGTACAAAAAGCTTTTATCGAGTGTTGACTTGACAAAGGATTTTTTCTTTAGTTATACCTATCCTGTAATGCAAAGTTTACAGAAGAATGTATTGTCCAATGAAGATGAAGGGATGCCCTATGATAATATATTTGTTTGGAATGCTTATTTAACACAAGCAATCAGATCAAGATGCAATAACACCATTTGGACAATAGCTTTAGTTCATGGCCATTTTAAGCAGGTGGGCTGCTTTGCTTCTTCTCCCTATTATCGGTACTGATTTTTTACCGGTCAAATATGAGTTATGTATGCTTATTTCATGCCTTCGTTCTCATGGAAGATTCTTTCCTATTGTCCTTGAATATGTGTATTTACATTCTTTTTCATGCTCCATGATGTTGTCGAAGTTTATCTTTTGAAATGTGATTAACATGGGGTTGCGGTGAATACTAAATTGTCTAAGGAAAAATTATTTTAGGGTCACAGCAGAACCACAATTATGCTTGGCAATAGCTAGGTTAATTAAGTGTATGACTGGAATTAGATTGCAGCTTATTGAGGATGTAGTGGATTCACGTTGACTTCCCCCCGGGTTTTTGGTGTTTTTTGCTGGTGAGGGAGGTTATGTGGCATGGATCTTTCCTTGGTCTTCTTGACTTCATTTGCCCCATTTCTTTACTTGTTGGGGCTCCTCTAGGCTTTGTATAAATCCTAGTACCAGTTTTTTACTCTCCAGATTTTGATAATTTTCTCCTCGCTAATCTTCTATGGAAGCTCAAGACTCTTATAAAGAACACATTGCCTTGTGAGATTTTTGCTGTTATGAGGTCTACTTCTGTGAAAAACATTTCTTTAAGAGCTAATATCAAGAAATTATCAATTTAGTCACTTTACCCATTAGTTTCCTCTTTTGCCTGGTAGACCCATCTCACGGGATTTAATTTTTCTAGAGTAATTGTACACATGTCACGTGTGTTTCTTTCATTGTACTCGTCACTGATAAAACAGGGATTTGCTGACATTTCTTGTATTTGACATCAATTATTTTTTGTATCCCTTTTGTTCTTGGGTTTTTCTACTTTTACGAGCCTACTCTGATTCCATTCCTTTCTTAAAAGTAAAAATAAATCCACTAGCCCCTATAGCTTATCCCGATTTTTAACTAGGTTCTTATAGTTTCAAAATGTTTTAATCTGTTTTTATACCATATCATGGCTACAAAGTTAGTCCTTACACTTTTGTCTGTTAGTAATTTTATCCCTGAAATGATTTTGTCTAAACAAAGTTAATGAGTCACTGATGTGGCACATTAATTGTGGATATGGAATCTGAGCAAGCAACACCAACTATGGGACAGCATATCACCAGTACGTGGTAACCCTCTTGATGCACCAAAAAATCTGGGCTTTCCTGGTTTTCTTTTCTTCACCTTCTTGTAGACCCACAAATTCAGGACTTGGAGCTTTGATGATGTTTGCGTTTATTCTTCCTCTACCATGCCTTGTTTGTTGATGCTGTGGAAGGTCTTCTGATATTCTTGATCTGATGATGTCCTCCATCACTGTCAGTTGAGCTCAAATCTGTCTTCTAGCCCCACCTGTTACTCTTCCAAATCCATTGATAATTTAGTTTGGGAAGTTGAGTAACATTGTGTGGTAGTTGAAGTCACCTAATTGACCCGTCAAACCAAAATGGGGGCTTTTTTCGTTGAGCAGGGATTAGTTGGGTAGGCAAAAGGATGGTGCATGTCTGTATGAGGTGGGCTATTGTGTGTTGGTCATGTGTAGTCCCATACCTGCTACCTCTGGTGTAAACTGTAACTGTCAATGGATTAATTTTACCTTCTTAAAAAGCTTACTTTTCTATAAAAAATAAAAAAATGTTAAATTTATTTGTTAAGTAGGTTTTTCTATGTATATATGCACACACATAAATATGCAACACGTTATTGTTGTTTCTTTTGTGTGTTCAAATGATTTTTATTGACTTGTAAATTAGTTTTTAATGGTGTGATATCATAGTTCAATGTATAACCAATTCTTGAGTCTTTAACAATGGCAGATGCGTCTTTCAATTTTCGGGAGGGACTTCAGTGTTTGCTTGGTTTCTAGACGATCAAGACATTTTGCTGGAACACGGTTTGTTCTTTCTTGTTCTAATATTTTATTCAGATATCATGTATTTACATTTTGTCATGAGAAGCATTGTGATAATTTAATGCTAACTGACTTTGTTTACTTTTCTGAATTTCTTAATTCTTGATAGCGTTCTGCTAAGTTTGTCTCCTCTCACCTTTTCCCCTGCTTGCTGGAGGGAGGGGTATGGATGATTAATAGTGTTTGTTATGGATTACGTATTAAATATTGTCATTCTTTACTAGTTAACTTAGAATTTAGTGTCTAAGTAGAGTTTTATCATTAGGGACAAAGGCTCAATGGTTGTGACAAGTTAGTATTCATGACTTTAATTTTTTATGGGTAACAAGGTTGGGTGTCAATATTGTTATCATTAGGTTTAGTAACAAGGTTGGGTGTTGACTTAGAATAATAGTGGGTTAGAGTTTAGCAACTAATTAGAGTTTTATCATTAGGGACAAAGGCTCAATGGTTGTGACAAGTTGTTAGAATTCATGACTCCTAGTTTGTTATGGGTAACACGGTTGGGTGACAATATTGTTAGAGAGATATTGATAAATCTTTCTGGAGTCTTGGTCTATTAGTTGAACATTTGGGGATAAAATGGTTGACCTGGTGTTAGGCCCTGTGTGACCATTTGTTGCCTTAGTAGGTTTCAATAGGATTTTGTTGCATTGATTTATTTTATGCTCTTATATTTTCTGGTTTTAAGGATATCTGATCATACATAAGATAAAATGTATTTTCTTTTATTCCCAATGGAATTTCCCTAGCATCTGGTTTACTGTACTAGCCATGTTAGAATTTCCTATTTTGTTCCTCTAGCTGGTGGCATCGTAGGATTAACATGCTAGCCACTAGTTCCCCCTTGTGATGGAATCGCCTCATTAATGATGTCATTCCACACCTTTTAAGCCATAATGTTTTCTTTCCTATTTTGTCCGTCTAATATCTTCTTTATGAGGTTATATTTGTGTGGTTAATTGTGCTTTATTCCCCTTAGTTTTTTCTCTCTTATTTTCTTCGTTTCTTTTCCCTTGTTAAATGCTATTTTCCTAAAAGGTGAGTAGCAGTCCCCTCGTGCCTTCACCCCGTATAAATTCCTGACACATTATTCAACAAAACACAGCAATGTTGAGGAGATATTTTCTCACCTCTTCCTCGAGTCTTTTGTCCTTTCTATTCAAGTTAGATATTGAAAAAGAATTTGATTTTGTTGAGCTTGGAGATATATGCAAGCACCTTTCTTGCTCAGGGAGAATCAGGTTTATCTTCTGTCAATGTTGGTTTGTGTCAGTCCACAATGCTTGTAGTTGGCTAAAATTGCGCCATAGGCTCACTAGTTTGTATCAAACACTTCTATTTGCTGACACAACATCACTAAGGAACAATAGCTACCTTGCGTGAGGTCATGCGTCAACACTTTCTTTTACTTGAGATAGAGCCATTGTGTTTTCCATGGAGCAGCAAGTTCTTTAGGTTGTCTTGGTTACAATATAGGTTTTGCTGATTTCAAGTGTCATGATATTGATTGGCAATGGCTTGATCATTTTATTTTCGGCAATCTAGACTTATACCTCGGATCCCCTACTACTGGTTAACTAGCCCCTTTAGGGAGTTGACTTTCCTTTCCTCTTCCTTTGATGAACACGTGCACATTTTGTGACCATTGTAGATTATTGCTGCCTTGGATTTGTGGCCAATAACATCTGAAGAAATGTTTTTGGCAACTTGCTACTCACTCCAGAGGCTTGACAGGTGTCTGGTTAGCAAGTAGTTATGGCATTGCCATTGCCAATGTGGGTGTAGAGGTGGTGCTCTGATATAACTGCTGGCATTAGGAAGACCTATGGGAGGAGAATGAGAACTGAAACCACTGGTCAAATCAATTACCCCAGAGCTCCAGGAATTGAGGAACAACTCCGAGTGGCAGCTAGCCACTAGCTGTATGGGTCTTAAACCCTGTAGGGTGGGTAGAATTACTTTTGGGGAGCCTATATTATTTTGTAAGAACTGATAGAGGGGAAGAGGGTTTTCTGGGGGAGAGAATATTGAGGGAGAGACCTTGCCTCTCGAATGCCATGGGAAGCTGCTGTATTTAAGTTTGTCATGTTAGTTCCAGTGTAATCTTTTGTTGCTGGTTGTGGTCTATTTTGTAATCCGGGAAATAGGGCTTTGAGCTAGAATCAGGGGAACTTACTGTATCTTGATTCAGTGTTGGAATATTAATATCAAAGCCTCAGGATTTTCCTCATTTATTACTAATCTGCTTCATTATTGTTAGTTTGTTCTCTGTTCTGTTAAGTATTAAAGCCGGGTCACAACATGCTCCTTGCATTGGTTTGCGGTGTGTTAAAGATCCCCATCTACTCTTGGGAGGGTAATCAATTAAATTTCATCATTCCAAGGATATATCCGTGAAGTTGCACTTGTGGCTCTGTTGAAGAGCGGCGCATTAAAGCCCTTATTCTAATGGGCTTTGTGGCAACAAACCTAGCCCAATAAGGGCTGTGTGTGTGTGATGCCCCTGTGCTGATTGTGATATTTTATTTTTAAACTATATCTGTTTTATTTAAAATATTATAGGATAGAATCCATTTATCTTATCTGAATTAATTTAGAAGATTTACCCTTGATTATCGAGCTAGAGGGGGACAATTTGTTGCCTTCACTACATGAGAATAAAACATATCGCACTGAATAGAACTTCAATTCAGGCGAATTTCTTCAGGCTCTATCCCTCTGATGTTTAGTAAAAATCTACATCCTTAGATTGATTGCACTTTCCTGCTTCCTTAATGTGAGTTTTGCCGAAGCAGTATTTTCCTGGTGCTTCATGTGTTCAGTGTAAAGTACATGTTTGTGTCCTTGAAATTCCGTTTTTTGGATGCTAAAAATGGTTTAATTTAAGTATTACCCCATAGGAAGTTATTTATTCTGATTTGTCAAGGGAAGGACTAAAGGAGGAGGAGCAGCAAACCAGGTAGCCTCTTTTTCTGCCTTCAACTGGATTCCTCTAGAAGGTTCACCATTTTTGGAGAATTTGGGAACAAGATTTGATGACTTATTTAATAGGAGACTAGAAGGACTGCTTTTCTCTTCTTCCTTCCGGGAAAATGTTCTCAAATCATAAGTTTCTTTCTTTCGTTGCATTTCTTTTTAGTCTGTGCTTTTACCCCTCGCTCTCTCTGTCACTCACAACCATGCTTCCTGATCACTTTTTGCCCACATTCCAAATATTTCTCAAATTCTTGTGTTGAAGAGAATGTTTTTGGGATGCTAACTATGTCATTCCCATTGATTTCCTGTAAGTTTCATTTCTTTCTTACTTCCATCCATAATGATAGCATCACTTTGAACTGTTCTCTTTTTCCCTGGGTTTTGGTATCATCTTCTTGTATTGTTAGATTCCTGCTCTTTGTTTTACAGGGTCTTTCATGCTGTTCTGTATAAGCCACTTATCTAAGTACTTTCTTAAATGTTTTGGAAATGCTTAGGCAATTTGAATATGGTATTCTCGCCCTCTTTCTTTTCATAACCTAGGTGTGGTCCTTTCAGTTTTTATGTTCCTTTGATGTTGTTAGAGACCCACCCATTTTCAACACTTGTTACCAAAATGTCTTCATTAACGTATTACTTTTCACAAGACATGAGTTGAAACGGCTTGGGACTTGTAGCTAATTTCATAGTCATTGGTGTAGGGTCTTTAAGTAGGCAACTAAGTTATGGAGCCTACTAGTGGTCTATTCCTTTTAGTGGCGTGTTATATTAAGCATGAAGAACCTTCAATTGATATGGCCTGGAAATATTCTCATGTGGTGAATTTCATGATGCTTTGTTGTTTTTACTAGAGACATATCATGGCATTTCTTTATCAGATAAGTTTGTTCAGATGACTTATTTGTTATCCTATCTTATTTATTATTAATTGTTTTGTATTCTGGTAGATAAAGTGTCTCCAGCTATTTTAAGATTGGAAGACTTCCATTTATTGTTACACCCCAGACCAGACTAAAGAAATAGTTCTAATTATTGTTTTTAATCCTATGTTTTCATATTCAACAATAACTCTGTATTGATTGGAACATAACAGTTTAATATCACCTTCTTACTCATTGTCTTTTGACGAAATATGTTTATACAGCGTGTCTATCTTGCAAAAATGTTAATGGTTCGAATTGGTATAAGTTACTATGCTGCCAACTCTTTTGCAGTTATTTGAAAAGGGGAGTCAATGACCGGGGAAGAGTTGCCAATGATGTTGAGACAGAACAGATTGTCCTTGATGAAGAAGCTGGTTCTTTCAAGGGAAAAATGAGTTCAGTTGTGCAGATGCGTGGCTCTATTCCACTTTTCTGGTCTCAAGAAGCTTCTAGATTCAGCCCCAAGCCTGACATTATCTGTAAGCGTTGGAAGTGTTAGAATTTTTAATAATGTAATTATTTAATTATTTTTAGTTTAGTTATTTTATTATTCCTTCTGTAATTGCAATTTTGTCACCTAGAGTAACCTTTACACTATAAGTACTCATGTACATGGCCTCATTCTATAGAATAGAAGTGAGGATTTCAGAGTTACTGTCAATAAATAAGCATGTTTATTTGTATTAAATTTTATTTAATCAAAAACATTTTTTTTTGTGCTCCTTCTATATTACATCTAGCTCTTCTTTGATGGATTCTTTCTCTTTTCTTCAGTGCAGAGGTATGATCCTACATATGAGGCAACAAAATTACATTTTGAAGACCTTGCTCAGAGATATGGCAATCCAATTATTGTGCTTAATTTGATTAAGGTAATTTTTCATTGGAGGATGACCATGCCCCAAAATGGTGTGATCTGTGAAGGCTAACAGAGTCAGGTTATGAGTTATTTAATTCTTTTGTAAAGGATATTACTTTGGTCACCATCCATGTGTTGCAGAGAGAAGCACTTTTCCTTCACTGTCCCCAGTCTGTACTTCAGATCAGTACTTGTGCCCCCATCCCGGTCCACAGCCATGCTTGTTCCTCCTATGCACTAACTTACCATCAGAGATCCAAACCTCTGTCAAGTATCTCTATATATTAATTAGCTAGTGCTTACAAAGCCGCATGAGAAACGCATTAGGATACAAATATATATTGATAGTGCTATAAGCATTTGCTGATTTTTCTATTTGGTTGCTAAAAAAAATTCCAAATATGAGAAAGATTACAACAAATGAGGATAAGAATTCCTCAAGGTATGATTTATAGTAGTTTATCCTTCCTCCAACCTCATCGGCCTTTAACAATCTTATCTCAGCCAGCATAGCTTTCCTCAACTCATTTTTTTTAGTTACTTTGATCAGCGTGACATCAGAAGCTTCCTTTGGCAGCAACTATCCTTGCTCAATCTTCCTAGTCTTCTGCTTTGATGCATACCTGTTTCCCATTCTTTTGATCACCTAAAGTTGATGAAACAACAGACCTAGAGTGGAACCGAATGCTGATATGTGGTGGGTTAATGATGGGAATGGTGGTTATGAAGTTATTAACTTCCTTTACGTTTTGGCAGTATAGTATGTATTTTGAAATTGTCATTTTTGTATAAAGTCATGGTGCATTATTTCTAAGTATGTGAAGCCTAGCTGTCATGTTTTAATGAGTTAGTTACTTATGTGAGTGCCACTTGTGTTATATTAGTCAGTGATTTGATGATGTCTTCGTATCAAACTATACAAGCGTGATATTGTGAATTCTGAATGATATGACATGTATTATTCAGTAAGTACCTGGAGATCCTCCCTTGTTTATTTGTTTATTTCTTAGATTCTGATTCATAAACTAAAAGAGGTTCAAGCTAATCCTCTATCCTTCCCTGTTCCTGCCTTGTTTCTTGCATTTTTTTTTATTTTTTTTGTTTTCATTACATACTAATTGCACTTCCCTGTAGAAAGCACTAGCCTTATTGCTTAAGTTATTATCATTTTTAACGAAATACCTTTAAGCAATAAGGTTGTTGATAGAAAATAATAGTGTCATGCGATCCATATAGCAAATCCCATCCGATGGGATAAGGCTTGTTGTTGTTGTTGTTGTACCTTTAAGCAATAAAAAGAAACTGAATTTATGTTTTCCCAGAGCTCATTTAAACAATAATTACAGACTGTTGAAAAAAGACCACGAGAGATGATGCTGAGGCGTGAATTTGCTAATGCTGTGGGGTATCTGAACCAAATTTTACCTGAAGAAAATCATCTTAGATTTATTCATTGGGACTTTCACAAGTTTGCAAAGAGGTGAGCATGTCAGGTTATATGTTCTTCCCCACTATGTAATCATATTTTTGAGTCAGTCCAAAATTATATCTGACTATTATATTCTTCTGCTTTCAAAGTAAGTCTGCCAACGTTTTGGCAGTTTTAGGTGGTGTGGCAAGTGAAGCACTTGATTTAACCGGTTTTTACTTCAGTGGCAAACCCAACATTGTAAAAAGGACCAAGGGCAACCGACCAAGCAATGGAAGGTACCAATGAAATTATTGACCAATATTCCACATGCGGCTTTTTTGTGTAATTCATTTCATAGCCTCTGGCTGAATCTAGAATCCTAATTTGGACAATCAAAGACGCAAGCAAAATATGTTGGGGTGAATGCCCTTTACTTCATTACTGTTGTTATGTTCATCCGTGAGCCACTTAGACCTTTCTTCACCCTTATGTTATTTGTGCATTTTTTGTGGACCGAAGTTATTTGTGCATAGATGATTTTTAAATAGGGTTTGTTATGCGGACTGCTTATCTATTTTGCGAACATGGATTCTAGAACGTTTGATTCCCTTATTCAGTATGCGGGTAGTTTTTCTTTTGATCTGACATTTTTGGGAGCGCCACATGTGCATGAATTTTAAGAACTTCATTCCCATTAAGGGTTGATTCCTCTGCAGTGGGAATATCTTTTCCATTTTGGAAATATTGAATTACCTCCCCCCCCCCCTTTGCGCAAATTGTTTCTTACCCAAACTTTCTTAGGTCGCATTACCAACCAGCCATAACTTGTCTGCAACTTTCATGACTAAAGGAAAAGATATGTATTATGAATTTATAACAACAGTCTGCTCCAAACCATAGGACTTTTTACAGCTTTCATTTGAAGTAGAGGTCGTTACCTAACAGATTCAACATCAATCTGCCCTGGAACTTTGTCCCTGGAAGAAATACTGCCACCAGCAGTTATGTTCTTCGAAAACTTCAGCATTCACTTTTGGTCCTGTCATTTTGCTGCTTCTGCTTCTGACAAAAATCATCCTTGAACTGTTTAGAGAGCAAACCTTTCTCTATCTGAATTTTAAAACACAAGTCATCATCTGAAAACATCATTTCCAGTTTGTCCGAGGAAGTGGACCCTTTAGAACCTAAAATATAGAGGTAGTGTCTACTGCTGCAGTATCCTTGGTTCATTACTAAAATGCTCCTCCTTTTTCATAACCAGCCTCTTGCAAATTATTCTTCCAGATTGCTTTTTTCCTAGAAATTTTTTTTTTAAAAAGAAAAAAAAAAGAGATCACACAGCTTGTTGGAAGTGTCTCGATTTGCAGATCGTCTTTGTCTGTGATATCAGCTCTATAATTTTTCATCCCCTAAACACAGCCTCACATTCCTTGAGATAATCCAAACGGATTCTTATCTCTTATGCAATTAAATAATGCGGTTTTTCATATGCACTGCTGTCATTGTATACAGGGATACTTCTCTAAAAGATTTAAGAACGAGTTCAGGAGATATTGCAAGGATCGGAAACAGTAATGAAATTCCAACTGCATTAGTCAATCAAGACAGCGAGACTGACAATAACCAACAGAGCCAAAAAGATGTTTGTGGTGAAGCACCGTGCTTTCAAAGTGGAGTTCTGCGCACCAACTGCATTGATTGCTTGGACCGTACAAATGTAGCACAGTATGCCTATGGCCTTCAAGCTTTAGGACGCCAGCTTCATGCTATGGGTTTATCTGATGTTTCCAAAGTGGACCCTGATAGTAGTATTGCTGCAGCTCTTATGGACATGTACCAGAGTATGGGTGATGCTCTTGCCCAGCAGTATGGTGGTTCTGCTGCTCATAATACTGTATGACGTTTTATGAGATTTGTATCGCAGTTAATATAATTTTTTGGATAAATATTGAATATTCTTATTTGCCTCTGCTTCATGCTCCTTGTTTCTGATTTTTTGGCTGACAGGTTTTCCCAGAGAGGCAGGGAAAGTGGAAAGCAACAACGCAATCAAGAGAGTTTATGAAGTCTATAAAGCGATATTATAGCAATGCTTACACTGATGGTGAAAAACAAGATGCAATAAACTTGTATTATTCTTTCCTCTTATATTTTCTTAGCAAACGATTCCCCCCTTCCCAGATGGCTTTAATAAAACTGCTTTAGAAAGTGTTGATGCATCTGTTTGCTTTATGTTGAAAATGTGATTTCGTTCCTTGCCTAATCAATCTGTGGCGATGGTCTTTTACTCAATTGGTAGGTTTTTAGGTTACTTCCAACCACAAGAAGGGAAACCTGCTCTTTGGGAGTTGGATTCAGATTACTATCTCCATGTTTCTGGGATTGGAGATGACCTGATCTCTGATAAGGGGTGAGTCCCCTAATCTGTGTAATAAATGATTTATAAATTCATCGTTGACATATTTGTACATGGTAAATTACACTAACTTTGCTTTATTTATATATTTTCATATTGTTCGTGTGCCTTTTCTTTTTTTGAACTTTTGAAATTTGCAGTTCTGAACTTATTACTAAGCCTTCTCGTCGAACTGGAACAACCCTCATACCTGTCCCAGCTTGTAGAGAAGACTTCTCACGCATAAAGTTGACATCATTTGACAAGTTAATTGAAAAGACTAGAAGTGAAATTCGGAATGTAAGACTTTTTGGTGAACCTGATCAGAAACCAGGTGGTTTTGGAAACAGTGGGGTTGCACCTGATGCAGCGTAATTTTTCTTATTCTAAACATCTGATTTACTTCTCTCTCTTTTTTTTTTTTTTAATCTCTGCCACTGATTTCTATTACTAAAATTTTTCATACCTCACAAATAATATCACTTTTCCTTTTAATTTTTATAACATGATGTTTCAGTATCTTTATTCACTGATTTGTTACTCTAGAATTTGATAGTCTTAACTTCTGGTACTTAAAGCTTTTGTTTCAATATGATTTTTCTTTATTAGTTGTTCAATAATAAATCCTTTTAGACAGTGACTCAGTATTTTTGTGTTCTGAATAATGCAAGAGAAATGTGAGAAAGAGAGCTAGAGAAAATGTGAATATGAAGTCGGTGAGAATTGATCTACCTGACCCTCTTATTTATGATGAGGGTACAAGGCCATATATTTATGCCTAATAATCGCCAAAATAATCTAGTTATGTACTATCTACCACAAACAATCCTAATCATCTACAATCAAATCATATCACAATTAGCAGTCCCCCTTAAGTTGAAATTTATAGGTCATATGACCAAGCCTGTTGTAGGAAAAGTGGGATTTCCTAAGGCCCCATTTGGTAGGAAGGAATTTGAGATTTGGAGATGCAAAGGGAGAGAATGTCAAATTCCCTTGTTTGTTTCATCTGAAGTGTTTCAAATGCTCATCGGGATCCACAATTTTCCTTTAAAACACTAGAAAATGGTCCCCCACCTCCCCCGAGGATAATGCGAATTTTTGTGGAACGCATTTTTTGCTGACATAAATAGCTCTAGCATCTCATTTCCGGGCATATTACTCCCCTTTGAAAAGCTATCATCTATATCCTTCATGGCAGCAGCAAGGACTACAGGTTCAGGCAGCAGCTTCTCCAGACTTTGACAGCAAGGGCCACGCTCTAATGATGGGGACCATAGACTCTGGCAATGGCTATTTCTCTCTTTGGCGAAGATCTAACAAGCCATGTTCAAGTTCAACCATAGCAGAACTGACCTCCTGCCGCCGCTATCATTCCCCTTCCTCCGTCATTGCAGATCTGTTCGGCCTCCATCATCTTCCACCTGCCTCCAGCTTCCTCCACGTCCCTCCACCATTGCAGATTTGTTTTGATGGCTTTATAGATATTTTGGTCTTTTCATTCTTAAATCTTTCCATTTCATTAAATTTTTCCAACATACCAAATAAAAATAAATCATGTAAGGATTGCATCAAGATTTTCCAACATGCCAAACATATTCTTAAAACGTCCATTCCCTTCCTCTTAGATCTGTTCGGCCTCCATCATCTTCCACCTGCCTCCAGCTTCCTCCACGTCCCTCCACCACTGCAGATTTGTTTTGATAGCTTCGTAGATATTTTGGTCTTTTCATTCTTAAATCTTTCCATTTCATTAAATTTTTCCAACATACCAAATAAAAATAAATCATGTAAGGATTCCATCAAGATTTTCCAACATGCCAAACATATTCTTAAAACTTCCATTCCCTTCCTCTTCCCATTTCCATTTATTTTTCTGTTCCGTAAAAAATCTTTCCAGTTAACCAAACGAAGGATTAATATTTTTGTAAGAAGGTCAGCCAAGTGAGAAACAAAATAGGATTTTCTTCTTGATGAAATGGGATTCAAGTTTGTTTGGGCTTCTCATGAAAGACTACACTAGGGGCAATTTATAGAGCAACGGAATTGTCACACTTTAGTGTCATTTGGTGAAGATATCCAAATTGAAGTTCTTGGTGTAATTGCTTCATCTTCATAAGTTCACAGTTGCCAATTCCATGGCATGGTATTTTGCTTTAGCACTAGGTCTTGCAACAACATCATGTTTCATGCTATCCCAAAGATTTCCTTGAAGAAAATACGCAGTAACTTGTTGTGGATCAACAATGGGTAGTTGATTGCGAATCTTATCTTTTCTTATATGACCACACATCCTTCTTAACATTGTCATCTCAGCTACCCCAACTTTATGCTTGTGTTGTCCCTTTAAAGTTCACATTCAGCTGCCGCATGCAGCTTGATCAACATCTTTTGCTATGTGAACAGCAAGCCAATTGCTACAATCACAACTAGTCATTGGAGGCAATCATACCATCAACAATTACACCAAAGATTTGGTTATTGATAGAGCACAAAGACACCATTCAATCTGTGTGGTCAACCCCACCTTGTAGGATAAGGCTTGTTTTTTTCGTTTTTGTATTGTCAATATCCACAAGGATCCGCTAGATGCCCCTTGCAGGCCTTGTAAGCAACTTAAGTTTGTTTAAATAGTATAATGCTTGGTAGAAGAAATTGTGTCTCACTCTTAAGTTTAGATCTTGCATTTCTACATCAATGGAAATTCTTTGCTTGAATTCAGCATCTCATGCCATGCTAATGCTACTTCTTTCCCATATATTCTCTTTTTAGTGAGAGGGAGTGGCTTGCTATGTTGTAGATTTGTATGGAACAAAGAAAGCATTCTTGCTTGTCATAAATCCAGATCATTTTTTGCAATTTCACTGATTCTCTTGTGCTCTTGTTCAGTGAGATACAACTCAAGAGCCCAAATTGGCTTTTTGGCCAGAGAAAGCATGAAGGAGGTACCATGGCCGGGAAAGCTGCTTCTCGTGAAATTGATATTGAAAGATCTCTAGTTGAGACAAAGGGTAATGGTTTTTACAACCTAAACTGGCTTTCTTCTGGCAATGATTTGAATGAAGAGGATGCTTTCCAAAGGTATGTATCGCAAAAGTGCCTCATTTTTCTAGTTCATTGTCTCATTATATTCATAATCCCATTTATTAATATTTTTCCTATACTTTTATTTGCCAGTAATTTATTTTTATGTCTATTTGTTTTATCCTGAGATATAGCCTGTTCTGAACTGTGGAATGAAGGCTTTCTAAACGTTGATGGACCAAATTGTGTGCATTTGTAAATTGTAAACTCATACATGGATGTTTGATATTTTTACATGGGGATCTGGACTGGACTCTGTGCGATTTTTAAGCATTCGGTAAACATAAGTGAAAATTGATGGGAAAATGATGTGATTCCATCCACAGAAAGATGTGATACACATGTGGAGAGGACAGTAGAAGGGTAGCCTATCAATTCCACTGCTTACAGGAACTTAAACGAGAGAGATCAGAGAGAATCGAATCAAATCTGGAAATGGAATATTTACACAATAAATAAGAGAATATGAACACATATAACAGGAAAGAATACAAGCATAATAGATCTGATTAATTAGCGGAATATCTGGGCTAATATTCTGCTAACAACAAGTGTTTCCCTTTGTCTGAAAAAATATAATGAATGTGCCATTAAAGTTTCTTAACTCCTCTAGTTTCCACCATGCCTGAAAATTTGGGGTTCGATAAAAGGTTTTTGGTCATTTGCTGTTATTTCTTTGATTGATTAGGAATCTGGTTCAAAATTTTGAATTTTAATTTCAAAACGATAATCTTATGTTGATTCCTTTCGGAGCCCTAATTATTCTGGGGTATAGTTAAACACCAATTTCTTATCACTGTCTTTGATAACTCAATTATTGTCTACTTTGAATTTCCAGGTACCCGACAGTGACATCTAGTGAGGACAATGGTTGGTACGGAGGCACTCTTCTTGGTGATCAAAATGAAAGCAGTGAGTTATATAAGCATTATGCAGCGTTATGTCAGGTATGCATGTGCAGCCTTTCAATCATATATGTTGTTGCCTCCACGTAAATAGACATCCTGGCTACGGGGGTGGTTAAATGGATCTATGATAAACAATTCCTATATTATTCTATCAAATTCAATTTACGATATGTATCTCATTAATGAATTGACCGTAATTACAAGCAAGGTTTTATTGGCCGAATCCTATAAATGCGTTGTATTGAGTTGGGCAACAGATGGGTCTTTATTTAATTTGTTAATTGTTAATAAAAACTTGGTGTCTATAATTCTTTTTTCTTGGGTAAATTGGAGGATTAGAGAACAAGATCAAGGAGACAAAGAAAGGCACTTAAGGAAGTTATAGAATGGGATCTCACGGTGAACGGTATTCTGAGCAGTTAAATGTGATAGAGTGGCCCAATGGCATCATATGATCTTAGCCACGCTTGTGTTTGTTGTTGTCGTCCTTGATACATTGAAGGAAGGAGGATGTGAAGCAGGAAACCCTTGACTTGTATTCCCAACCACCTTTCTCACCCGGCCCATCTTCTTAGTGATTTTCTTCTCCATAATTTATTGATATGTAAATTTTCTAATTAAAATTAAAATTCCATGTGTTCTACTTTAGAAGAGGCGTAGCATATTTTGGCTTCAGGTATTTTGAGCATCTTAATTATCTATAGTTCTTAACAAATATCAGTGGATTGTGCAGGGACTTGAATTGGAACTATTTCATAATGATCCTGGGAGTGAAAGACATTATGCTGATGTTTTGAGCCTAAGTTCATTTGACATGGTTAATGATGATGTCGTTGCTCAAGAAATGGAAGCAGCTCTCAAGGAATATGAGCAAGTTGGAGCTGACCTTGGCATCATTCCCTCATCTTGTAAATACTTTGCTGAAGATCCCAGTTGGCTGTCAAGATGGTTAATAGGAGAAGAGAAAGTACCGGGGACATAATGCCCCACTATATCAATGGTTTGGTTATTATATTTCCAGCTGTAAAGGAATGGAATATTCAAATACTTCTTCCAGCCTCCCATAAATATTTTCTTGTATCAAAGAATCCGGACCACGGTCAGTACGGCCGGGGAAACTTCAGGTGCCAGCAAATTCCAAATGTTGAGTAATGTACAGTTCGCACAAATTACACTTACATGAGGGATGCATAGTGCTTGGGAAGAGTAGAAACTACAGGCAGGTGCTTTGTTGATTAGGAATATTATGATATGATTTTTGCCAGAAAGCCATAAACAAGACAGTGCTAATGGCTATTTTTTTTCCTGCGCCTTCTTTCACACGAAACTGAACCGGAAACCCTTTATCTAAAGTTCTTGGTGTGGCTTCAGAAAATTCGGGTCAGTCCTTTTCTTTGTGCTCTTTTTAATTCTCTCTTACCAATAGTCCTTTTTTTATAGGTGGGTTTGAGGTATATGAGTTTAATTGATCTATGAAGTGGAGACTACTGCGACTGTGGAGTGTGGACCGTTGGATCAAGTTTGTTGATTCAAATTTTATGGTTTTTAAAATTTCGTATTAATCTGCACAGTTAAAATTTGATAAAAAGGGTTCAAAAGTCTAATGAGTAGAAAGAAATCAAGTCTTTTATATATTGACATTTCAAGTAACTGCGTCCTTCGAATTCAAATTTTCTCATGTTTTCTTAAGAAAATGATTCTTAATTCTGAATAGTCTATATTTATTCTTAAATGAAAAAAATACAAAATTAATATGAATAAATCTGGAACTGTTCAAAATAACTTTCAGCAGGTAGATTGTACTCCAAATAACAAAAATGTAAAACACACAAGTGAAACACAGCCAATGCAGCATCAATGTTGAAGGATAATTCATATTTTCTATAATTTCCTCTCTTCGGTGAAATTGCTCTCGGGCAAAATAAATCTAGAAACCTTCACCAAAAATAAATAAATAAATAAATCTGGAAACCGAAAATGGGGGTAAAAACACACCAGTGAAACGTCCAATACAATCTCGAGAGCAAATAAACGTCCAAAGAGTGCCTTGGTGTTACAATTTTCAGTCAATCTTTCAAATTCTAGAACCCCCCCTGAAGTATTACTCACTCCATCCTTATAAGAAACAACTATTCCCTCCGGAAAAGAAATAAACTTTTTTCCAATTATGCCCTTATTTACGGAGTAAGTAAGAAAAAGAAATAGAGTAATAACAAGAAGAAATATGAAAGAGAGTGTAGTATGCCAAGTTGTCAACATTTTAACTAATACAATATATAAAATTAATTGAGGGGTAAAAATACATTAAATGTTTAGATGATGCCAATTAAATTCTTATAAAAAAGACAATTCAAATTTCAAACTCTTATAAAAAGGACCAAAAGAAAACCATTTCTATTTTGTCCCTATTTATGACAAAATGTTTCAAACTTTCTTGGCTGGTGTCCTATTTTTTTCCATTAATTACTTATTTTAATATATTTATTATCTTATTTTTCAAACCATCATCCTCTCTGTCACATATTTTTTCTTCCATAATTCTCTTTATTATAATATCCTTATTCTCTCTCTTATACTTTCTCTCCCTTAAAAAAAAGACTCAATTATATATTTAATCTTTGATTAATTTTTTTATCAGATAGTTTTTAATTAATTTTAACTAGCTTTTTCAGCTACATAATTTGGTCAGATGTTTCTTTGAAAAAAGGGAGGGACAGAATAAGCAGCAAGCAATTGAAAACGGGCACTAATTGACGCTTGTTGCCTTCTTAAACATTTTTTCTAACCTTCATAACTGAACATTTATGCATGGCTTGCACCCCAAGGATCTGAATTCAGTTGCTCTCCAAATCTCTGAGACAGCTAATAAATGTGAAATACTATTACTTTGCACAGAACTTTTTTTATTTTTTTATTTGGGTGCTCTCAAATGCCCAAATGTGTCCAAGTTTATGTCACTCAACGGATAGAATGATGGGCAAGAATGCAAACTGATTCTTACTCGAGTCTGTCTGAGACAGCTAATAAATGTGAAATACTATTACTTTGCATAGAACTTCACTTTCTTTCGTCTGTTTTTTTTTTATTTTTTTGGGGGGTGCTCCCAGGCTCAAATGTGTCCAAGTTTTTTTTTTTTTTTTTTTGCCCTGATAATACAAATGTGTCCGAGTTTTTGTCACTAAATGTGAAAAGGTAGGTCTTAAAACTTTCATTTAGTGATAGTTACGTGACACCTGAAATTCATAATTTGTAACCGACACTCCCATACTTGCAACTGTCTGAATTGCTTTTTGCAACTAATCTCGTAACAATTTTTTTTGGGAGACCTCATTGTCATCAAATTAAAATTCCGAAACCTAACTGTTGTTACCTCTAAAATTATTTATCCAGCACCTATCAAACTAATACTAGGAAAAATGGCACAAATCCAACCCCAAAAGCCCCCTCAGCAATACCGGTCAAAACGATCACATAAGCATCACCAAAGATGCATCAGCCGAAACGTCAAGGCTGTGTACCATGCGGTTGGACTGATTACAAGTAAATCTTCTAGGAAATGCATCACTACTAAGAAAACAGAATACATATTCTACAAATAGCTCATCAATTTTTTTAAAAAAAATTTTAAACAACTAAATCATAGCACCATTTCAGGATTTCAGAAATGCTAATATTCTGCAGCAAATTATGTATCATGGCTTCAATCACAAAATTCATATCATGCAACAAATACGAGCTTGGCATTCAGGACATTTAAGGCAAAAACTTAGTTAATACTTCGTGGGGGAAAAGGTATAATTTTGAGCTAGGAGGACATAAGGATTCCCAAACCTGTTGTCTAAGTACTCTATGACGACCATGATCAACATTGCCCCCCATAGAACATAAAATCCCACAAATCATCAATTAGGACATCGGAATCTAGGATCATATCAGAGTCATTGGCTTTCTCAGACTCACATCAACCACCGATGGTTACGCATTAGCGCTCGGTTCAGAATTTGTTTCTGATGGTTTAACCATATCTTGAAAAGCTTCCATGTCAATGGTCATTTCATCATTGATATCAGCCTCAGTCATGACTACATCCTTGTCAGCAGCCAGAGGCTCAATGCCATTCTCTGTAATATTACATTCCTCATTCTGCTTTTCAACTGCTTTCTCTGATTCACCTGACTCTTGCACAGTTGTTTGCGGATATGGATCGGTGCAGATAGTCAATGTAGATGTAACCAACAAGTTCTGCAATAGGAAATGAAAAAAAGGAATAAGAATACTTCTACAGAAAACACGTTATACATGACCGTCATAGATGCAGTATACACTAGGTGTCAATTAATTACGAGATGACATTTATCAAATCCAAATTCCATTCAGTCATGTTTAATTAAATGCTGTAAGAAAATCATTTTTGTTTATTTAAATTCCCTTCTAGATAATATCAATAGCTATATTGTGATGATCAATGTTTCCTAGCAAGACAATATTCTTCTCATTCTCCTAGCATGAGCGTGACTCATACTTGCAAATTTCACGGCAACACTCACTGGAAAGCTTATACCAGGCTTAGCGTGTTAAAGTAGGTAAGTTTACCTACTATCCTTCAATATCTTCCAACTCAACCAGTGCTCTTAATTGTTTGAACTTAGCCTTCATGGAAGTGTCAACTAGTTTACAACCCTGCATTCCTGTCTCCATGCAAGTCTAATGCGTATTCCAAACTCCTAGACTCCAATTTCTATTGCAACAGAAAACCTTTACCTTTCAACCATCATCTCTTTTGTGAAACTTGTGACAAACATGATTTACATATGCAGTGAAGAGAGCAAGATCACCACCAACAGAGAATTAGAGAATCAGGTTTTATCAGCCTGACCCCACGTACATCCAAGGAATTGACAATGAGGTGTGATCAAAGTATTCCTACAACCTTTGACAACCTAAGTAAATTTATCAAACCAGGACCTGGGAGATTGTTTAAGGCCACAGAGGGACGTGTGAATCTTAGACACCCTGTTAACATTACTTCCTAGACACACAAATCATCAATACATGTGGACCAGTGAAGCTAATTGTTCCTATTAAGTGAATGCCTGATAAAGAGAAGCTTTCCTGACCCCATGGTTGCTTGAAGTGACAATTTCACGGGGGAGTCATTTTTTTCTGCAATCATCACCATAGTTAGCCCACATTTTGTCATCAAGAGTGGTCCGACCTCTTGGGCTCTGACATCTTCAAGAATTTTTATAGTATAACTTCTCTGATTTGCCCAATAGAAACAGAGAGCATTGACAGCAAGTTCAGCCAATCAATCTCAAAAACCCGCCAGAGGGATTACAAGATACAAGAAGGGAAATAAACGTTGATAATCAGCAAAAACCCTCCTAACTAAATCCATGATATGCCAAGATGGAGGGCCCCTCACAAGATTTCAATGCTTTTACTTCTCAGTGAACGGGTTACCTTTTTTGCCACATGTTGAAGTTTACATAATTAATCATCAACACTAAAGTAACTTGTAAAGGAATTAAAATTCAAGGGGGTATTTTCAAACAGAATGGAACTGAATTAGGTGCATCAAACTATAAAGCACCACGCATACGGCATACCTTCTCAAGGGCTAAGGCAAGCTTCGAGAGATTTGGGTAAATATTTTGTGCATCCAATAGGATCTGTGCAATATCAGACGAAACATCAATAAGAAAAACAAAAAATACATCTGAGAAATGATATACATGTAAAAACTAGGGAAAATTAAAACAAAGGACCTTAAATGAAAAAAATCTATTATAGAGGATCTTAAAAATTATTACTCCTCCGGTCCTAAATATAAGACCCTTATGCTAGTATTATTTATAAACGCCAATATCAAAATATAAATTTAAAAATACTAAAATATCCCTAAGTTAATTCCGTACATTTCCTCATACATTCAACTTTTTGAAAGGGGAAAAAAAAAAAAACACCAGCCCACCATCCCTATGATCATAATCTGTTTTTCATTTAAATTTTTTTCTGATGAACATTCAGGTCCATGTCATCAACATCTTTTATTCTTGTAAATATCAGATAACATCACATTTGAAATTTTAAACCTTAAATGATTAATTTTGCTTTTTTCTTTTTTCTTTTTTATGATGGCTGTGATAGAGAATTATGAATACTCGTAATGTTTATACTTGTGTAAAAATTATCTGTGATTTAATTATTATTCAGATTGAGTTGGAACAATTTTAATTTTTAATCTTTAATGCTTGTTCCTTTTTTTTTTCCCAAAGATTTGAAGTCCGATGGTGACCACGATGATGGTGATAAGTTCATGACTTTAGAATAATTATTTTAAATTAGTCCTAAACTCTTTCTTTTACTCCTAGCAATATGGAGTTACAAATTCAAAAATCCTTAGTAAAAAGTATAATAGGCGTGTGACTTATGAAAAGAATAAATAAAATAACATGGATCCGAATTCAAACTGCTAGATCTTTTTGAAAATTATTATATCAATATAAAAAAACTCTCAAATAGTAAACATGTTATAGTATTCAAAAGGTCCAATAATGTAATTGATTCTGGTAAAAAAATAATATAACTGATGCTCTATATAAAGACTCCACATCTAATTTGGTTCGATAGGGAAACGCTATGCATTAAAAAAATGACATAATTAAAGATTAATTTTTCTTTTATTATAGAAACCATTTTCGTTTTAATTTTAGTTGCTTTTTCAAATTTTGAATTAACAGAATTTAGGAGGTTTAGTTTGAGGCAATTTAGTACTTTTACATTCATATTGTGATATTTGGTCCTTTACATAATTACAATTTTTATGATAAATATCATTTTTCCTAGGTCCTTCATTCTAATTCTCCTTAAAAACTAATCAAAAAGCATGCAATTTGATGGTCCACCAAGACTGAGAACATCTACCATACAAAATATACCAAAATTCAGTCCATGTGCACTCCCACTATTGTTTTACATATTCTTTTGATGCATGCCATAATTTTTATATTCTGTACGAGGAATAGATGTAGGACAAATGGGAACAGGCTACAACTTTTGAGTTGAATTGGATATTTACATGATAACACAATGATCAAAGGACAATCATCCCAACATAAGCTTCTGTTGATCAAATTCAATTTCGGAGAAGGTATTATGGTAGTAGGGACCATATTTGAAATCACCTCTATTCTACAAGCATACAAGGGTATAATGATACACTTGCCATAGCGACCTAAAAAGGGGACGTCTACCACCCACCAGATAAGAATCAATTTTAGTGTTGTCAATGGCATGTGGTGAAAGTTGACAACTAGTGGCCAAAACTGCAATGACACGAAAACAGATGGCATGGCAGCTGCCACGTGCATGCACAACACCTTAAGAAAAAATAAAAATTTTATACACACACAATGAAAAATGGAAAAAAGAACTACGAGATACTCACACTAAAGAAATTTTAACAAATGATGTCATCATTTAACTAGAAGCAGTACCATTGTCCATTATCCGACTAATACCCCCTTGCATGATCCAATAGTTATTCAATAGCAAACATTGTCTTACATTTCTATATTCCTGATAGAGTCCCATTGGATTGCCAAAAGTAATTCTTGCAACACTTATATGGCATGATTCTTTCCAATTACAAGTTGGCTTTAAGGGAGGGTTCACTAGGCTAGCTTAAGTCTCCATCAAAACCAAATGATGAAGACCTGAGCAAATATGGGAATACACTCATCTAAACTGCTTGTACAAGAACGTATAGGGAAGGAAGATTGTAAGGAAGTTGTTATGTTGCACTCGTGGAATTCAATCACGTAAATCTTCAATCCGTCTCCTAAGAAAGACAAACAATGGACTGATGGTGTCATAGCTACCTTAGGAGAGAGATCAAATGGGGACAAACATCACTTTTGTCGACTGTGACCCTCCACTTTTGTTTTGATTGTAAATTTAATAGCTTCAAAATTCATAAAACAAGAGGATAGAGTTCAAGGTTTCAAACTTGGTGCACCAATGTTGGGAAACTAAAGCTAAATTGTATTTCTCAACAAAAACTATTCATCAATGTTCAAATGTATGTAATGTCATTCTAGTACTGGCCAAATTATCCTAAATTTCTCAACAAAAATTGCCAGATTTTTATACCGATGCTCTAATAAAAGTTTTTTTTTTTTTTTGTTTATAACCAAGAAATAATATCAGAGGTTGGAGATGAGATAAAACCAAGGGATGCATATAATAACCTCACAGACAAATTGAAGAATATAAGAAAAGGATAAAGCCAAAAAATCTTAATAATGCAACAAAGCTATCTCACTGCACATCATCAGGACCCCATTAAAGCAATCATATGGAGAATACCAGGTGAAACAGTAGACATGGCTTCCATTTCATAACATATGAAAGCTAAAAATCAAAACTAAAGCAAGACACATCAAGCTAGAAAAGGTGCATTAATCAACATTTGCTTCCAAGACAAAAAGAAACGATTACTAACACAGGAATATTGCTGCCAGAACATAATAACACACAACACTTACTAGCACAACCGCAGCAATGTAAATGGAGGAGCATATATTAACGTTTACTTACAAGACACAGACAAACGATTACTAATAGACATGAATGTCACTGCCAGAACATAAAACCGCACGACACTAACCTCACACAACCTCTGCAATGTAAATGGAGGGCCTTCATAAAATGAAAGAAGAGCTGCAATTCAAAAATGCCTTCAGTAATTTCTATGGAAGAAGACGTGATAGGGAAATCTATCCAGCACATTAATATATTAAAATACATTCTTTCAAGGCAAAACAACAGATTTAGTATTCTTGATAAACACTTCAAAACAATAGTCCTGAAATACAAGAGTGTAGAAACATTTGAACCCTAGACTATTTGATAAAGAAAATCTAATTTCTTAAATAATAACAAATTTACATCCACATATATCACATAGATTGCACATGTAAGTATGGCAAGTGATTAATGTCTTCTCCTTAGCATTTTCACAAAACCCATAAGTTAGCATAAAATATGGTAAAATACCTTCATTCAATCTGTCCACTAGATCAGAGTAGGACTCTCCTAAAGAAGCATATTGCTGCTCACTTGTCAATTTTGCTTCAGGGTAGTCTGACAATACCTATATAGCAGTTATGAGGCAGAAAGTGTAAGGACAACCATGCAAGAAAAGTATAATGGTAAAATCCCATTTAACCTATGAATATAAATTATCAATGCCTCTGAGACTTAACAGAAAATATATAAGACCTACTTGCTAGCATACCTCCCCATACCTGCTTCAGCTGAATCGATAGCATGCTCTTCAACTTATCCCAGTCATGCCTGTTATTTGAAAGCAAAGCATGAAACAATGAAAAATGACTACATTAGCATTGCTATTATAGATCTGGATGAAATCTTACCGAATTATCATTATACAAGGCCAACTAAAGTAAACAAATAGTTTATCTATTGTTTCTTCATCATGAAATATTAGATTTATGAAACCGTGTGCCCATGCATTGACATAGTGTCATAGAAGCCATTAGGTCTGAAAATGAGGAAGGCCATAAAAGACTAGTAATATTGTCCATGGAACAGGAGTTTTATTGGATAAAATAAGAATTGCGAGTGGGAAGATTGAGACAGGGTCATAAAAAGCATGGGAAGGAGAAACAAAAGGGGGGGAAGGAAAGAGGAAAAGAGATACAAAATATAGGAGAATAACAGCGCTCCCCAAGTTCAAAGGGAAGCAAGAGATATGACCCTTTCTGTTAAGTCATTAAGATCGCCTTTGTTACTTGTTTTTAGCATCATAAATTATATCATTTCGCTCAGTAAGATTGCCTCATTAAAACCATTGATATATATATATAAAGACAGATTTTCCTTGAGCAAAGTTTGCTTAAAAATATTTTTTAAAAAAAAATTTCAGTCTCTGCTACAGTACGGTGCCTCAACAAACGAGAAGAAAGAAGGTTTTTTCAGCTATTTGCAATCATATATTCAGGAAAAATACACACATCGCAGTAGACACATTGCAGAAAAGCCGTAAAAGAAACTGGTAACACCATTCAACATACCAGAATCTCCCAGTGGATGCAATAACTTCTAATATGTGTTTAATTTCTTCCCTTGACATATGCTCTGATTCGGCACCTCTACAAAATCCAAGCATAATCATCAATCAGAAATGCGCATATTCTTTCACATTGTATTAATCATTATTGCACAAAAAATACTAACTATAAAAGAACTATTGTGTTATTAATATTACAGAAAGGAAATAATTAAAAGGGAAAAAAAATTCAACAGTTAAAATTGTTCAAGTAAAATGCAATTTCAATTTTTAACATGTCACAAGAGTTCATGCAAATCATGATTATCTTGAACATCCCACCAACGTATCAGTTAGTCAAATATGGTCAATAAAGTGGACTGTCATTTTATGATGCCTAACAGACTCTGAGCATAATTTACCCAAATTTTTAACGTCTCTTAGTTGAATCTACATCCCTAAAATCCATAAACCCCAAACCCAAATTCTGCATCTTTTATCACAAAATTCGGAAAAATACAAAGTGCTAAAGCAAGGCACAACGCAGCCTTAGCAGCTTCCGTACCATAAGAGGCGCTGGCTTTGGTTTGGCACCAAAAGGCATGCCTTGTGCTCGGCATAAGGCAAGCATCTTCAGCACATCACTGATATTGCCAGTAGAAGGTTTTTTCTGAGGAACAGCACAGCTGTATTGGCTCGGTGATGCTGTTGTTGAGGGTGTATTAGGGTTAGGTGTTTAACTAAACAGAATAGGTAAGTTTCATGTCTAAAATATTATATGAGAAGGGAAAATTTTCTAATAAAAATAGGAAAGCCTTAAATTTAAAATATCAGATAAGAGAGCGAAGATTTCTAATAATAATAGGAAAGTCTTGAAGTTAATATATTAGTTTTAGACTTAAAATATTATAACAGTACATAGCTTTTAGGATTTCTTAATGTAAATAAATATGAGAAAACAAAGAACCCACAGAGGGACAACCAGTTGTGCCACGAACTTGAGTGGCTCATTTTATTGTTTAGTAATAGTATGATTGACGTGACTACAACATTTATCATTTACTATGACATTTTCAGAATATATCTATGTGTGGATGTATAAACGAAGGTTATTTCAATGTATATTTATCTGTAGTTTTTTTGTCTATATATCATATTTTTCTTCTTGCTGCAGCGCCTCACTTTACTAGGGTGAGCATCTTTCTAGCTACCTCATCGCAAAGAGCCTCCAAGTTCACCCCATTAAACTATTGTTAGAAGCCCTTGATTCTCTCCCTGATTCTCTCCCTTTATTCTCTCCATGATTTACCCATGATTCTAGCTAGACAATGAATTCCTGATTACTTGTGATATTGCAATATCTTTCATTTATTACTGATTGATTGTAACCGGTAGTATGAGACTCTATATATTGTACCCACATCATATGAAATAATATGGCAGAGTGAATTTTCAATACTCTTTAAGCATGATATCAGAGCGTGTGAGCTTGGAAAGGGTCCTGGAGAGTCTGCCGTGAGCCGGAGAGAGAGAGACGGTGAGGAGAGAGAGAGAGAGTGAGTGAGGCGTCCTCAAAACTGGAACCAGAAGTGGTCCGTGGACGACACCACCCCTCCAGGCCTCACCGGCGTCCCCAGATCGGCGCGTCCCCAGAAGCCGACGTCCAACGGAGCTGCGCGTGACCCTCACGCGCCGTTACAAGCTCCGCGCGTGAATCCCACGCGCCGCCACGCCCCGCCACTGTACCAGCGCGTGCCGCCCACGCGCCGCCGCCAGAGACCTCCAGTACCTCCCAGAGACCCAGAAGATGGATAACCCAGAATTCCCACCACTTTTTGGGTCTGTTCGCAATATTCCAAGGGTTCTCATGTCCGGTACATCTTCAAATACTCAAGCTACTCCTTCTTCACCGGTGGTTACTCCTTCTTCAGATCTGACAGTAGCCGCTGAACCTCAAGCTATGGGGGTAGCCCACAAACTTAATGGAAGCAATTATCTCCAATGGTCTCAAAGTGTATTAATGTATCTGCGTGGGAAGCGTAAGGAGAAGTATATCAATGGAGAAGCAACACAACCTTCGCATAATGATCCCAAATTTGATACCTGGTTCGCTGAAAATAATCAGGTGATGTCTTGGTTGTGCAATTCAATGACTCTCGAAATCAGTGAAGGATACCTTCTTGCAAGTACAGCCAAGGAAATCTGGGATGCTGCTAAGCGGACCTACTCTACCCTCGATAACACTGCAGCCTTATTAGATCTAAAGAGGCAGCTCAAAGATCTGAAACAAGGCAACTTAACTGTGACTCAATACTACAGTACGTTGACAAAGATATGGCAGCAATTGGACCTCTTTGAAGTACATCCTTGGAAGGATATGGATGATGCTAATTACTACAGACAATTGGTGGAAAGAGGACGAACATATGACTTTCTGTTGGGCCTGAATGATGTTTTTGAAGAAGTGAGAGGGAGAATTATGGGACTGAAGCCGCTGCCATCCCTATTTGAAGTCTTCAGTATGGTTAAGTTCGAAGAAAGCCGAAGACACCTCACTCAAGGCAGCCTGACCGCAGCAGAGGGCTCGGCATTGGTGACGAGGGGGTTCCAGACATCAGAGGGCCCTGAGAAGAAAGGGAACAAGTGGTGCAACCACTGTAACAAGAGAGGCCACACCAGAGATGAATGCTGGAAACTACATGGGAAACCAACTCAAGGGAAACAGAAACAACGGGAAGATAGAAGGAGCCACCACACCTCCTCTGAAGAAAAAGGTGATGATGGAGACCAATTGACCAGAGAAGAGCTTCAAATGCTTCGTAAGATACTTGAAAAACAAAACAAATCAAAATCTGTTCCCAACGTGAACTTGATACAGTCAGGTAATTCCATTATAGCCCTCAATGCAATGATAACTAGTGATGAGACTTGGATTGTTGACTCCGGTGCTACAGATCACATGACTGGTAATAAGTCCTTCTTCAAAACCCTCAAATATTGCCATGAGAACCTTAGAGTAAAAGTGGCAACTGGACTGTATACTAAAGTTGAGGGTGTTGGCAGTGTGGCTCTATCTGAAGATCTGGAAATCCATAATGTTTTGTTTGTCCCTGCTCTTACTTGCAATCTTATTTCTGTGAGCAAATTAACTAAAGGGAAAGCATGTCGGGTGATATTTGATGATGTTAAATGTGTTTTTCAGGATTCGACCTCGGGGAGGAAGATTTTGACTGCTAAAGAATGGGATGGACTCTACTACTTTGAAGGAAAGGATATGAAGACAGCAGGAGCAAAGAAAGCTATGGTTAGCTCCAACTCTCAGAATAAAAATGTAATGTTGTGGCATCAAAGATTAGGCCACCCCAGCTTTGATTATATGAAGCATGTGTTTCCAACTTTATTCAATAAAAATTCTTCTCCTTTCCAATGTGAAACGTGTCAAATTGCTAAACAAACTCGCGCCTCTTATCCCAAACATACTTACAAACCTTCTACCCCGTTCACAATGATCCATACCGACATTTGGGGACCAGCCAAAACCAACACCCGAACAGGCACAAAGTGGTTTATCACATTCATAGATGATCACACCCGGGTCACATGGGTTTACCTTATGAAAGAGAAATCCGAAGCCCTACAAATTTTCAAAAACTTTTACTCGTTTGTGAGAACCCAATTCCAAACTACCATCAAAGTCCTGAGAAGTGACAATGCCAAAGAGTATGTGAGTGGAGCCTTTAGGGAATTTCTTGAGCAGGAGGGAATCCATCACCAAACCTCATGTGTTTATACTCCTCAACAAAATGGAGTTGCTGAGCGAAAGAATAGACACCTTTTGGAAGTGACCCGAGCTATTATGATGGAAAGAAATGTTCCAAATCTGTTTTGGGGAGATGCTGTACTAACCGCAGCCTATCTTATCAACCGCATGGCCTCTAAAATTCTCCACTTTAGTACCCCTATTCAAAAGCTCCTCGAGACTTACCCCACTTCACCTATCATCAATACCATCCCTCAAAAGGTCTTTGGGTGTGTCGTCTTTGTCCATAAACATGATGGAGGCAAACTAGGTGCTAGAGCAGAAAAATGCATTTTCCTCGGGTATTCCTCCACCAAAAAGGGGTACAAGTGTTATTGTCCCACCACCAGAAAACTTATAATCTCCAAAGACACAGTCTTTTATGAGGATGATGCTTACTATCCCAAATTACCCATTCAGGGGGAGCACTATGGAGTAGAATGGCTAATTACATCCGAACCTATAACCATACCGCCTCAAGACAACATCCCTGAACCGGAAACGGAACCAAAAACCCCTACTACTACACCTTCTCCAGAACACCAAAACTCCACAAACATCCCTCACCCAATGGAAACCAATGCTGAAATTGATGCAGGGGTGACAGAGCACTCAAGTCCTCAATCAGGTGAACAGGACAGTAGTAGTAGGGTTCCTTCCATTCCAAGGCAGCAACATGATTCCAATCCGGAGTTGGATCCTGAAGAACTGGGATGGCCTATTGCACTTAGAAAGGGGGTAAGATCGTGTACTCAACATCCTATTCAAAAATTTGTCTCCTATGGCAATTTATCTGCGAGAATGCAAACTTTTGTAGTGAATAGCTCACAGGTGAAAATTCCAGAAACATTTCAACAGGCTGTAACAGATCCTAATTGGAAACATGCTGCATATGAGGAGTTGAGAGCCTTGAAGGAGAATAACACGTGGGATATCACCACACTTCCTAAAGGCAAGAAAGCAGTGGGTTGCAGGTGGATCTTCACCCCTAAATTCAATCCTGATGGCAGCATCAACAAGTACAAAGGAAGATTAGTTGCCAAAGGGTACACCCAAACCTATGGGATTGATTATCAAGAAACGTTTGCTCCTGTGGCAAAATTCAACACCATCCAGGTACTCCTGTCCCTAGCTGCCAACCTTGATTGGCCCCTACATCAACTAGATGTGAAGAATGCTTTCCTAAATGGAGATTTGGAGGAGGAAGTGTACATGGAAATTCCAGATGGAGTAATAGCTCCGCCCAACTCAGTTTGCAAATTGAAGAAATCATTATATGGCCTGAAACAATCTCCACGAGCATGGTTCGACAGGTTTGCCAAAGCGATCAAAAGGTTTGGCTACATTCAAGGACAAGCTGATCACACTCTTTTCGTCAAACACAGTGATGGAAAGGTAACGATCCTAATTGTGTATGTGGATGATATAGTCATAACTGGCAGTGATGAGGTTTCTATCTCCCACCTCAAGAAGGCCCTGGCTAGGGAATTCCAAGTGAAGGATCTAGGCCAAATGAAGTACTTTCTTGGAATGGAGGTTGCTAGATCCAAAAAGGGTATAAGTGTGTCTCAACGAAAGTACACACTGGACTTACTCCACGAAACAGGAATACTTGGGGCTAAACCTAGTGAGACTCCTATGGAAGAGTCATGCAATCTGGAAGTGAAACCAAAAGGGACACCAGTTAACTCAGAAAGGTACAGAAGACTTGTGGGCAAACTAATCTACTTGACTCATACAAGGCCTGACATTAGTTATGCAGTTGGAGTGGTAAGCCAATTTATGCATCAACCCCAGGAAGAACACATGGAAGCAGTATACAGAATCCTCACCTACCTCAAACTCAACCCTGGAAGAGGACTATTCTTTAAAAAGGGGAGTACAAGGAGCATCGAGGTCTACACTGATGCAGATCATGGGAGAGCTGTGGATAACAGAAGATCTGTCACAGGATACTGTACTTATGTTTGGGGAAACTTAGTCACTTGGCGAAGCAAGAAACAGACAGTAGTCTCAAGAAGCAGTGCTGAGGCTGAGCTAAGAGCTGTAGCCCTGGGGGTATGTGAAGGAATGTGGGTGATTAGACTTCTGAAGGAATTGAGAATCTCCTATGAAGGACCTATGAATCTCTGGTGTGACAATCAAGCCAGCATTGAAATGACCAAAAATCCTGTGTATCACGACCGAACAAAGCATGTTGACATTGATCGGCACTTCATCAAAGAAAAGGTCGAGGATGGCATCATTAACTTGAACTATGTGCGTTCAACTGATCAGATTGCTGACATCATGACCAAACCGTTAGCCAGAGTCAAGTTTGAAGGGCTTCGAAGCAAGCTGGGAATGGTTGACATCTACTCTCCAGCTTGAGGGGGAGTGTTAGAAGCCCCTGATTCTCTCCCTTTATTCTCTCCATGATTTACCCATGATTCTAGCTAGACAATGAATTCCTGATTACTTGTGATATTGCAATATCTTTCATTTATTACTGATTGATTGTAACCGGTAGTATGAGACTCTATATATTGTACCCACATCATATGAAATAATATGGCAGAGTGAATTTTCAATACTCTTTAAGCAACTATCATATGCTTCCCCGCCTCTCACCTTCACAAGCAAATCTATTATAGAAGAGTTCTCCAATCCCTCTAGAAAGTACATTCTCTGAAAGAGACTTGTTCCCATTGAACCCCATGGTGAAGTGGAAGTAACGTATACCTGTGATTCAAGACACTAGCCACACTATCATTGTTCTGATGGTCATTATCATTGGAAGAAATGGTTACATGCTGCAAATTTTCATTTGACGTCTCCATCAATTGCCCTCCACCTACATAGAATGATAGATATATTAGTTATATGAAGTTCAGATTCAAGCAGAATAAATGCTTCCAGATACCCCAACTTAGATGATGATGATGATGATAGAAAACAATATGTTGTCAAAACAGACCCGCCAGCAAACCACTGCGGCCTCAGTGGGGCAGTGAGACCAAGCAACTGGGTTTGCCCAGTCCAAAGCATGCATCATCATGCAGGGATGAGGCGCGACCTTTTTGGGAAATGGAGTTATATCATCCAGTATTTTCAGCCAAACATATCTAGTAACTTTTATTGCACATGCTTAGCCAATGAAGATCCAATTAAATTACATGATCAATTATACATATATGAACTTAAATTACACAAGAAAACTCCATAAGGACCATCAATTTAACCCAAAATGTACTACTCGATTCTTCCATGAAGCGGGAATTCCATTAAAAAGGTGCGGTAAAGAATCAAAAGGTCCCAGAGGCAGAGCAAGTTGCTTCATTATGCATGGACTGATAGGAGGTAAGTATAACTGATTTATTGGTGAATGGTCCATGTGGTACAGTGTCTTCAAAATCTATGGGTGCATCCTCTCGCAAGCTAACAATTAAGAATTAATAAACTGTTTAAACCACTTGAAGATTTTGAGGAACACATTGGAAAGCAAAATATGGTTCACAAGTTCCTAATTATGGCTGCAATTAGGTCTCTAAAACACCTCCTCCCCTCCTTTGCTTCCTGCAAATCAAATTTCACTACCCCAAACAAAAGCAAAAATCTCCATCCAGCATCACCATATATAAGAACACCTCTTCACCCAAGGCCAAAACAGAGATGACAAAAACGAAGCCTTCCTTTCTCTTATAAATGCCCACTAACTTGGCCAACGTTCAGCGAACGAGAGGGACGAAGGAAATAATTTTCACCTCAAAAAATGTAGACCAAAGAAGCCACCAAAAATTCCCAAAACATTTGAACCTTGAAATCGACTCACCTCAGCCGGTGAGAGGATCTAGCCGGCGGCTGGACTCGCGGTGGTGGCCAGTGGGTCGAGGCGTAAGGGCTCTAGAATCGATTATGTTCCTCCCTTCCTTGGGTTTTTGGAGAGTGGAGTGAATGGCGATCGTTCTGGGAAAATAGGACCCGCTACCTTTCTTACAAAAAGCGGAAAAAACATAGGGGAAAAAAGTTGCACGTTTTTAACTCTAATTTTATTTTGATGTGAAATATAAAATCATAATCTATTTTTTTATATTTATTTTTTTAAAATAGTTTTTGAAATAATAGTAAATCTAGTAACTATAATTAATTAATAAAGATATATTAGGAAAGGTAAAACTTATTTATTAAAAATAACTAATTTAACTAAATTTTTTAATATACTCAAATTAATCAACTAGTTCTTATATTAAAAACGGGAGGTAGTACTCATGCGGTTCTTAATATAGAACCTAATTATTAAGTTAATTTTAATTCTAAATATAAGACCTATTCTCCATATCTATCGGTTTTTTCTAAATTACTCCTATTGATACTTTCTTAACCATAATCAAGCAAAAGAATGGGGGAGGATATTAAGGAAGATGGTTATAATATTTTAGGAAAAACATATTATATTTCTTATAATTAACTAACTTATCTAATTTTTTTAATCTAATCAAATTAATTAAGTAAGTCTTATATTACAGACCGAAAGAGTACTTCATAGGCAATCAATTCAAAAAAAAATTAATTAATATTCTCAAAATTCTCTTATCTTTTTAAAAATGTTTTTAATTAAATATAATATATTGGAGGAGTAACATGTTTTCACTCAATCCTTTTAATATTTCATCATAATTATTTAATAATACATATGGCAAGGACTTCTGACCGAAAAACCAAGAAGGGTAATAGGAGTATTATTTATTATTCAATAATTCTTCAAAGCAACATACAAAAATAAAAAAAATGAAAATTTTTAAAAGATAATAATAAATAAGAATGAAAATAGCATATGCTACTTATTAACGAAGTCTTGTTCAACATAAGGCTATGCATTTTTTTTTCCCTTGTGAACAGCTAGTCAGCTACAGATTTTTCTTTTTTTCTTTTTGTGCCATCAAAGAAAAGGAATGTCGTTAAGAAGACAAACACAGGCAATATGCCAAAATTTCAGCACAAGAAGCTACCGCGAAAGTAAAATGAGTTACTAAAAACTAAGTATATATCTAAAATTCAACCCAAATATAAAGTACTACTTCTGATTCTAATTATAAGAGCTGGCTGACTACTTTGAGGAGATTAAGAAAAAAGTTAAATTTGTTATTTGTAATAAATAGGTGTTGTCTTTCCTAAAATATCTTTACTAATTAAATGTATTGGCTAGAACTACCATTATTAGAAGAACTATCTTTAAAAAAAATGATAAATATTAAAGACAAAGTGAATTGGGGTCTTATATTTAGGACCAAAATAAAAATCAAACAGGATTTTATATTAAGGATAGGAGGTAGTACAAAATTAATAGGTATGTAACCTCACTTCAACATTTGGTTAAAAAAAAAAAAACCTAAATTTAACACAATCCACTAGATAATAGGTGTCGCGATTGTTGTAGAGGTTCTCACACTCAATTAGAAGGACATGACCATTTTAAAGAAACCTTGACAACTGAGTTGGTAACCAAGTTTAAAGATGCCTTAGTAACTCACTAAGTCACCAAGTTTGCTTCCCTAGAAATCCACATGTAACAATGGCTTTTGATAAGTTTCTTGATGACAAGCATGTCTTCTACTAAACTATCCCATCTCCAATTAGAAGATGCATTGTTTTTATTTAAACAATTTGCTAGAGTAAGATTATTAGTTTCAAAAGTAATCTCATCTAGTTGGTTCATATGGTGAAAAGCACTCCGCAACACAACACATTCATCCATGAAAGTTGAGTTAGCTTTCATAATTTCCTTTTGCCCATCTAGAAGCCATCCATTAGCATCTCTTACCACAAAACATATAGCTGCTAAATCGTCATCCTTCAAGAAGGCTCAGTCAAAAGTAATTTTCAAAACATTCCTTACTAGTGGACTCTATTTTACTTTAAAGAACGTATTTGGTATGAAAGATTTGGAGGAAATAAAAAAAGAAAAAGGGATTTTAATCATTTCTTTTTTGTTTGGCAACATAAAAATTTTAGAAGGGGATAAAAAAATCTTTTAAAATTCTTTCCCCATTCCTTCCCTCCTAAATTGGGAAGATTTGGAAGGAAAACATAATATTTTATCATATTACTACCTTCGGTCCTAATTATAAGATCCCGTTAACTAATTTGAGAAGATTAAAGAAAGAAGTTAAGTTAGTTATTTGTAATAAATAGGTATTGTCTTTCCTAAAATATTCTTACTAATCAACTATATTAGTTAGGACTACAATTATTAGAAGGACTATATTGAAAAAAGATGCATAAATATGAGAGACAAAGTGGATTGAGGTCTTATATTTAGGACTAAAATAAAAGTCAAACAGGGTCTTATATTAAGGACCAGAGGTAGTATAACCATTATGCTCATGTTTATTTTCAGTATTCCCATGCTACCCTAAACCCCTTTCTTCTTCTCTCCTAATGCCGCTCTCTCCTTCCCCACCCCCACACAAAGCTCGTTGTCACATTGCATCCGCCACCCTGCAGCTCGCCATCTTCGTCACTTGTGCATTTCTCGTATGTTTTTGCGAAGCTTTTCCAATGATGCCAGATGTAGAGATGGGGAGTTGTTTTTCTGTTTCCTTGTCTTTGAACATGAACAAATTTCGATTTCTGTAATGAAAGCTTTCCCATTCGAAAAGTTCTCGTAAAGAAGAAGCCATGTGTGGTGGTGGGTAAACTATCAAAGAAAGATGAGCAATTCACTCTATTGTGATACTTTGAAGAGTTCAATCAAAAAGCCAATCAAATAATAAACGGGCAAAAATTAATTAAAATATAAAAAAATTATAATATTTAAATCCCTCTACTCTTCTCTGTTAAAATCACTCCTTTTCCTTCCATTGAAGTGTTACATTTGTCTTGTTGAATTCATTTGCTCTTCCCTCTGCAGCAAGCTATGAACCTCCCAATATTCTTCACTTAAAGAACCAGCCAAGGCAAAATTTGAATTAACAACACATAGGGAGAATAACAATAAAAATTAGAAAATTAACAACAATGTATAAGGGAATTAACAACATCTAAAATGTAAGTAAGAATTAAAAACAATATGTGTCGAAATATGAATAAACAAATGAAATAAGAGGATTAACCACAAAAATTTAGTCATTAATAAGAAACATAAAGAAATTAAAAATCATTTTTAACAAGAGTTAGTGATTCAAATCAGAGTTAGACTGATCATAATTAAAATAATATAATTTAATTAAAATATATAAAAATACTTATGAAAAGAATAATATTTAAATAAAAAGACATTAACTCGTAAATAAATGAAACATTCATGTACGAAACCACACATAATTCAGCAAAACAGAGTAACTAAATTATAAACCTAACATAATACTATTTTTAACTTCAAACAATGTCATTTTAAGCTCAGTAAAGAAAAAGAAAAAAGAAAATATAATTCAACTCAGTCGACCAAATTGTAAACTCATAACCAAAACCTGTTAAGGAATTGATTCATCACTTCACTCCAGGCAACCTAGGTTGGGTTTTAACGCCATATGTTTAAAAGATATTTAGAAATTAAAGAATCCATTGGCTAGAGATGCTCCATTGAGAGGGATTAACAGTTGTGTTTGCTACTAACTTCAGGCAAATGCTTTCAGCCAGGAGGCACAAGAATTTGTTGGGTAAATTATTGTTGTAAGTGATGGGAAGATCTTTAATAATGACAGAGACATTTCAAATACTAATACCCTAATGATCTATCTTTGCAATTAGCTTCACAGAATGCTGCCGGGAAGTATAATAATTTGTTGAGTAGATTATTGTTCTAAGTGATGGTAAGGTCTTTATTTATGACAAAGACAATTCAAATATCATTATGATGCTTAATAAAAAATATTATTGTGATCGCTTGATTAAAAAAATATCATTATACCAATCAATTCCGGGTACACAACTAAAGCTAGGTGCAATTTACCATCATAAAGTCAGGTAAAAAAAAAAAATAATAACCATCATAAAGAAGAGTCAAGTTTCTAAAGAAGACTTTGTCACCTTCATGCACCCTTTTATCTGGTACTTATCATATTTGAGTTAAGTTTCCCGCCCCCTCGTAACCAAAAATAAGTTTCCTTTCAAAAAAAAAAAAAAGAAACAAAAGAAATGGAAAAGAAAAGAAGGTCATGCGAAACTACCACCAACTTTTAGAGCTCACTCAAGTTTTTTCACATATTTTAATATTCAGTGAACCTATATAACCAAACCCAGTACTATTTCAATTAATTTTCTTTAGGATTAATCCTTGTGATCTTGTAGTTTTAACTTGTTTGTAATTTAGGGGGTGTTTGGATGAAACCAAATCATGGTTTAGAGAATAGCTTCTGGAGAATAGATTCTGTGAAAAGTGATTCTGATAAAATTAAAGTGTTTGGATAGTTGTTATCAGAAGTGCTTTTTATATATGCAAATTACTAAAAAGAGCATAAGTTAATATGATAGATTTTATAATATATTTTAATTTGAAGGAATAAAATTGTTAATAATATATTTTTTATCAACATAATTAATAATATATAAGATAATGTAATTAATAAATAATTAATATGTGCATATATATTTATAAAATATAAGATTAAATATGTTTAGAGAAAAATGACTTTTTTTAATTTGAAGGAATAAAATTGTTAATAATATATTTTTTACCAATATAATTAATAATATATATTAATTAATTGTTAATATGCGTATTAATTAATTGTTAATAATTTTACATATATTTATAAAATATAAGATTAAATATGTTTTTAAAACAATAAAAAAAATTCAACAGAAAAATATTATTTTAAGAGGAGGAGGAACAGTCAAAAACCAAAAAGAACTGGAGAGGAGAAAGAAGTAGAAATGTGAGGCATGAAGATTATAGTGATGGGACTCCTCACTTTCGCTGACAATGTCGGGGGTGTTTGGATAGAAACCAAACCATGGTTTCAGAAGTGCTTTTACGGATTACGAAGTAAATATGTGGAGGAGATTACCTCGTTTTGCGGAAAAGTGCTTCTGAAACCATGGTTTTGGGTTTCCCAAACACCCCCGTCATTGTTCAAAAAGTGAAAATTTTTTGTTTATGGCAAAACCATGGTTTTGATTGGCAAATCATGGTTTCATGCTAAAACTATGGTTTCAAAAAATTAAGGGGTGTTTGGATGTTTTTGGGGGTAAACCTTGGTTTGGGATGATATCCAAACAGCCCCCTTAGTCCCTATATTATGACTTGATGCAATTCAATCTTTATAAATTTGATTATAACTCAGTTTTTAAACTTTAATTTATTACAACTCAATCCACATAGTTTTAACTATTTTATGATTTGGTCCTTGTATTCTTAGTTCTAAAACTATAGAAACTGAATTGTACATAAAGATTGAATTACAAACGAGTCAATGCTAATCCCTATTTTTCTTCTCTTTTTTTTTTTTCCAGTTTTGAACTAGTCATCAATTTCTTACAATTTTCCTAATGTTTTCTCCCTTTATTCAAATTTTTCTTATGTTTTATTTCTTCATTTTTTTCAAAATAATACTTCTTACTAGTGACATCAAGAAATTGAACCTGTTTACTGATTTATGTTCAAAGGCCAAAAGACATATAATACCTAGAATCATTGAGAGTGGTGGTTGACGCCACATGGTTAGACTCCTTTCTTTTAATAGTATGACTTCAAGCAAACTTGAAATACAAGCACAGAAAAGTGAACTTTGCACCCAAAGTTGAAGTCTTGAACAAAGGATAGTGATAGTTTGACCTCCCAGGAAAAAAAAAAAGTGGAAGAAAAGAAAAGAAAAGAAAGAAACTAAGGAAGAAAACCAAAGATTTCCTTCCCAGTCTTCCCCCCATCCTTGCCGTTCCTCTTCATGGTAATAATGGATGACCCTTGCTCGCTGTCATTCGGTTCTCTGGCAGTTCCTGCAACGCAGTTCTTTTCCTCTCCACTTCCTGCACCTTCATAAATATGATAGTGAATTAAATGTTAATAAGAATATAGTCACTTAAAATTTTACTCACAGATGTATCAGCCTCACCTTAACAGAATTACTCTTGTCGTTATTGGTTTTATTTTCTAAAGATAAGTTCTTCAGCATCTTCTTGAGCTGCCGCATGCTTTTACTGGTCAGGTCATCATTGATCTGGTTTTCCTTCTGCATATCTCCCTCTTCATTACATGTCTTTCTAGCTGATCTAACTTCCACTGCTGCATTATTTTTCAGTTCCGACAGATCTTGAGAAGCAAACTGAAGAACGTCAGTGGCCTTCTGTTCAGAACTGATTGGAGCAGAAGTCACAGTTGGAACATCGACATCTTCCTTGCAGTCTTCATTGCCAATTTGAACGTCGGTAGTATCAGATTCTGCTTCAGCTTCATTTCTAACCAATGAAGATTGGACATCTATTTCAGGCTCTGCTTTGGCTTCATTTATAACCATTGGAGATTGAGAATCTGCTGCACTTTGAACATTTGTATTTCCTTCGGATGATGGTTCATTGCAGACCTCCGTGACTGCATCCTCCTCTACATATCCTTTGGATTCTTCAATATCTAATGAAGCTCCAAATTCCAGTTCTCCATCAACAAGAGGAGACGTGTCGTCTTCAACTTCTTTTTTCTCAGCGGAGCATATCTCGTCGGAATTCTGAACGTCACATGAAGTTTCAGCTGCTTTGTTCTCTGCAGAAAACATGTCTTCAGGATTCTGATTGTCATATGCAATTTCAATGGCCTTGTTCTCAGCAGAGATCATTTCTTCCTGAATCTCACAGGAAGTTTCAGCTGCTTTGTTCTCAGCAGAAAACATCTCTTCAGAATTCTGGTTGTCATAAGCAGTTTCAATGGCTTTGTTCTCAGCAGAGATCATTTCTTCCTGAATCTCACAGGAAGTTTCAGCTGCTTTGTTCTCAGCAGAAAACATCTCTTCAGAATTCTGATTGTCATAAGCAGTTTCAATTGCTTTGTTGTCAGCAGAGATCATTTCTTCCTGAACGTCTCGGGCAATTTCAGTGGTTTTATCCTCGGCAGAAGACATCTCCTCAGGATCCCGAATTTCACAGGCTATTTCAAGCGCTTCCTTCTTGTTCTCAGAACAGAACATTCCTCCAGAATTCTGAGTATCATTGCCCACGTTAGAATGCTCACTTGCCTCATTCTTGTGTTCGACAATCATAGAAGCATCAACCTCATGATCACCTTTAGATACATGTGTTTCTGCTGAGCCATCTTCCATTTCTACAGCTGCTTCGTTCTCAGCAAGAGAAGAAAGCATTAGTACTGAGTTCTGAACATCATTTCCCATATTTGAATGTTCATGGCTCTTTTGCTTGTCACCAGAGAATGCATTATTCTCGGTACATGGAGAAATATCATTTTCTGTATCTGAAGAATCACAAGCATTCTCAATTGGACATATAATCCCAGTTCCTGCAGATAGCAGTAACAACGGTCAAATTCAACGTCTATCGAAGCAAATACCAATGAAATAACATAATCATTGGGCAAAAGAGATTTACAAAAAGGAATCATTCAACCAATGGGAAAACACACCTAATTCATTATTAGCATCATTCACTTCCTCAGTAACTGACTTGATTAATTCAACGTCTGATTCAGAACTATTGTTCATATCCTTCAATGGAGATCCTGATTTGTTGATTTTCATGAGACTCTCTTGTGGTTCAGCCAGCAGACTAGCTCCTGTATCACTTGCCATTTCTGACTTGGAATCAATTGACTGGCATTCAAATCCAGTGTTCTTTTTTGAAGAGGTAAGTTCCAATTTATCACCTTCCTCAATAAACTCACTTGATATAGTCTGTGAACTGGCTCCTGCATCATAAACCAATCCAATTTAAGACACCAAGTTAAAAACAAAGGTCTCCAAAAATAAATAAATAGCAAAAGACGTGCTGCTCTGACATACCTTCCACATCATCTTCTGATTCTTCAATCTTCTGAGGAAGACCAGTAATTTCTTCAGAGATCTCATCAACCTTCACTGACTCTGTTTCATCAGCATCCACGAAGCTTACCTTAGACAAGTTATTATCTGAAGAGGTCAACTCAGATTCATCAGTTTTCTCTACAACTTCGGTTGATATTGCTTGTGAGCTAGCCCCTGCATCATACACAGTGCTAGCTTAGGACCCGGCAAATTTTTTTTTTTTTTAAAAAAGGAAATATCTCAAGAACAACAACAAAAAGGCTTGAGAAACAAATATGGACATACCATTTTCAGTGTCTTCTGATTCTTCCATTTGCTGAGAAACACTTGTCAATTCTTCAGAAATCTCAGCACCGTTAACCGATCCTGTTTCTTCCTTATCCTCTAAGTTCATCTTAGACAAGTTCTTCTCCAACAACCTCACTGACTTCCTCGTATTGTAAGCCGAAGTAGCCTTTACCCTACTGCTTGAAGCTGCAGGAGTTTTAGGCACATGATCAGTTGGCTTTTCATCTTCCTTCTTTCTGCGACTGGACGCTGCTGGAGCTTTTCTCCTGGTTGTTGGCACAGCAGGAGTAACAGGAACGTTAAGATCTTTGTTCTCTTGATCGATTTCTTCATCATTTCTTGCTCTTGTCCCACGTCGAAGCCGAGTAGAGATCTTGGTGCTTTCAGGTTCTTCCATAACTGGTTTTCTCCGAGTTGCCGTCCGACAAGCTGGTGTTCCAACGCCCTTTTCATCGGGAAACTTCTGGGCATCACAGTCCACGGGATTCATAACTTCTTCTATCCCTTCAACCTAACATATTCAATGGAATATTTCAAAATCCACCATTAAAATCAGCAGAATAATGAGGAAGAGAAGAACCTTGATTATACAGATTGAAATGATTTCATAACTCTCCAATACAATTAAAGACCATGAAATTCGAAAAGACTTTCTATCATCTGTTTTCCAATTAAACAAGGCAAGATGCTCAAAGACTTTCACTGCACGTGGTAGAAAACAATCGGATCATTTCGACGTGCAGGAACTTGCCTGATTGCTGCTATGATGTTTCAAAATATATACAATAATTTCATATAAGTCGAAGAATATCGAGGGAGGCTTAAGAATGCATTATATAAAGGCCTCCAAGATACCCACAACTTCCGGGGTATATCAGCCAAATGAAAAAGATCAGTTCCAACAGCGAAGAATAATACATCATTGCTTGATGTTTAAAACGCGTAAAAATGGAATCAAAGATTACCCAATCCGAAATTTATTTCAAATTATCTGTCTTTAAACTCCCAATAAACCGTGATACATACTATGACGAAAGTCAGAAACAAATTGCATATTGCAGGAGAAAGAAAGAAAGAAAGAAAGAAAATAAACACATTACTTGCTCCAGAGCAGCAAGAGAATTGGCCATGGCCACATTAGTCATATTAGCTGGGATTTTGTTCTTCTTGCAGAGGGCTTGCAGCTGCTTCCTTGAGAGGGTGTGGAAGTCCATGATTAAGATATTTTCTGAATTGAATCAAAACAAGATGTTTTGTATTTGGGAGCTGAGAAATGAGAAATGCGGAGGAGTGTCTGAATCCGAAAGCAGATCGGCGAGGGAAATGCAGATCGGCGGTGCTATTATATGCACAGTTGGTCGTGCGAGAGACGTTGGAGAACCCTAGAAATTATGACCGTTGGAGCGTGATTTGAAATTTGAATTTCTGGGTTATTTTCGACCTCAATTTCTGGAGTAATTTGGTTCTTCGTATGGCACAAAAAATTGTGGTGCTTTAAAGTGTAAGAGAAGACAAGTGAGAAAGAGATTCAAGTTGAAATTATCTCGAAGGGTTTATTCTTTTAACTTTTACCTTTCTTTTTTTACCAGCAACTTTTAACTTCAATATTTGGCCAAACATAAAAATTAAAGAGAAAGAAAATATCAATATACACCTATAAATATATATTACATTGTGGGTAAAAAAAAAAAATTATGGTATTAAGATTTAAATTTAAGGTTTTTTGTAAACATATTATATTAAAAGCATCGTTGGCTAAAAAACTTAAATAGCATCTCTTATTATTTTTCCCAAAAAAAAAACTAAATTTTTTAAACAGTTTTTATTAAATACGGTTTATATACTTCGGAAAATTCATCTTTCCCTACGCATATAACTGCATAAGATTTTTTTTTTTTTTGGGTCGGGAATGCATGAGATTCTTTTTGATTGCGCATATTTCAAAATAAATAATGAAAAAATGATTCATACTATTATTTTAGTGTTATTCATTATAGGATTAAGGTGCGCCCAGTATCCCGAAATATTTTTCTAAATACACCCAGTGTCCTAAAGTTATTTATGGTGCAATTTTACTCTTGAAGCATTTAAAATGGTACACCCATATCTAATCATAACATATCCGTTTTGTTTGACTGTGAACTAATGACTCAATTTTGGTTTGACCAAAATAATCCTAGCTGGCATGCGTGACAATCAGCTGATGTGGATATTTAGATTTTTTTTATTTTGTTATGTTTTATCTGAATAGGTTTTCGTTGATGAGCCGCCTTGTTCGGTTCTCAGCTTTCGACGGCTCCAACAATCGTCTCTCCGGTCCAACTCCGGCGTCGTTAGCCAACGGCAGCGGCAACTTGCCAAGATTTAAAGCCACGTCTTTCTCAGGAAATAAGGAACACTACTAATGCCTTTTATTGCCACTTAGGAATAAAGGATTGTCCGTTTTAGCTGTTGTGGGGATTGGGTTAGGAAGCGGTCTCGCAAATCTGGTGCTGAGTTTCACCGGAGCTTGTATATGGTTAAAAGTTACGGAAGAGAAGATGGCACTTGAAGAAGGAAAAATCTGTCGGCTTATGCCGGATTATTGACCTTGGTGACAATGGCTTCAGAAGCTCCAAGGTATCTTTAAAAGTGAGGTGGGGGACATAGCCCTATTTTGCCTTCCTTCAGTTGAGTCATTCATTGAGATTTCATACCTTTCTTTTTTCGATCTTTTTGGGGATACAACAGATTTTTTTCTCCTTCCCTGTTCCACTGTTTCCATGCCCTTCCCCATTCCTGACTGGTTCTCTATCATAGTTTCTTTTGATTTTGATTCTGAACAGCGTATAATTGAATTTGAAAGGCATCTTCATCACCCGCACCAGTAAATTGCGCAGCTTTTTAATTTTTTTTTTACTGAATTGCTTTGGTGTAAGTTGTAGGATTGAAATCATTTACTAATGGTGCTGGAAGTAGTACAGGGCGATGTAATTTCCTCAATTTTCGATATCCATATTTCTCTGGAGGTGTTGGGATCATTCCATGGAGCAGTATAGTAACCAGGTAAGTGAAAGCACAGGTTCAGATAAAACACGCTTTTGAACCACAAAAAAAAAAAAAAAAATCCCAAATAGCCACATCAGCTGCTTATGTAACATGTCAAACTAAAGCTAAGTCATCAGTTCACAGTCAAACAAAACGGATCTGTTAGGATTGGATATGGGTGCACCATTTTAAATACTTCAGGGGTAAAATTGCACCATAAATAACTTTAGGACACTGGGTGTATTTAGAAAAATATCTCGGGGTGTTGGGCGCACCTTAACCCTTCATTATATTGAGATTTCTTGTTATTTTTTATTGTAATAAGTAATAACAACATTTTCGCTGACAAATAAAAGTAATGACAATATTTATTTTGAAAAATAAACAAATTTATAAAAGGTTTTTCCCTTCATATTTTGTCCTCTTGTTTACAATATTACATGCAATAATCATACTCGCTAAAAAATTTATGCTGTAGTTTTAAAATCAATATATTACTCCTCCGGTCTTTATTATAAGACCCCATTTGACTTTTTATTTGGTCCTAATTATAAGACCCCAATCCATTTTATCTCTTATATTTATGCATTTTTTTCGAAGATAATCCTTCTAATAATGATAGTTTTAGCCAATATACTTAATTAGCAAGGATATTTTAGGAATGACAACACTTATTTATTATAAATAACCAACTTAACTTACTTCCTTAATCTCCTCAAATAAGTCAATTGGGTCTTATAATTAGGACCGGAGGAGTACTATATTAATATTCAGGCAAAAATCAATATATGAATATATTATATTAAATTAAACCATCTCCTACTTTCCAAAAATATTTTTTTTTGCGTTCGCACTTTTTTCTTTTTCTTTTTTATATCACAAAAATAGTTGATTAAATAATATTCAGAGCACAGAATAATCTAATATGAATATTGAGGGAAAAATAAATTTAAAATTTAAAATGCCAATCAAAATAAAAATCACACTATGTAATAACGTGAGAAATAACTGAATTGACTTGTGCTGGCCCAAAATAAAAAAACTGAATCGAGTTGACTTCCTATAAATCATCCATATAATATTTATCCAAAATATTTAAAAATTAATTACATCCGTATACTTTGAAAACAAAATAACAGAGAAATCTACATTATTCACTCAAGTATCAATATTCAATTAATACGTGTCTTGTTTTATTTATAGGGCAAAGTCCAGTTTCTAAGTACCATTATTAAATTTTTCATATGAATATACTTTTTCGTCTTTTATTTATTATAATATTAATTATTATTCTTTTAGAAAGTGTATATATTTATCTAATTCTAAATATAAGATTTATTTTGTAGTGTAATTTATACTATAAAGTGGGTTTTATATTTAGGACCGAAAGAGTATGAAATAGGAATAAAGTTAAAAAATTGACATATTTTAAGGACGAGTTAATGCAGTTTAAAATTTTTTTAATCTATATGAAACATCTTGGAATCAATATTTTCAAAATTAAATCAGTCAATCAAACAATAATTATACTCAGAAAAAAACGACCCATTGATTGTGGTTTTTCTCTCATGAAAGAAATCATATTTATTGGTTATTGGACTTTGTTTTCGTGCATTTCCGGGAGAAATATTCCATTAACTTCTTAAAATTACAGTTTTACTTTTTATCTTTCCTCCCTTTATTTTAATTGATTCTACTGTTATTTTTTATTTGAAATCAATTAATTATAGGTAGTTCGGCCGTCTAAGTATTGAACTGTGAAGTTGAATTTTCAATAGTCGACCTAAATTTTAGAGAGAATTATTATGAGGTTCCAATGAAAGAATTGAATTACTAAAAAGTTTCAATAACAACTGAGCAACATAAATTAGTTGTCATTTTTTATAGTGGAACTTAGTATTACATGCTTATCAGTTATCAACAAATTTTAAGGTAATTAAATTCCTTACTTAGGATCATATTGTAATTTCCTCTAAATTTTAATACTACCTTTCACAAAACAAGAGAATGAATTTGTTTTACTAGGGATAAGTAGTATTAAATGTGAATTTCTATCCCAATGAGAATTCCAATCTTAATTTGTCATGTTGTGAAGAGCTAGTCATTTCCACTAAACTCAACCTTGATTGATTGTTAGTATATGTTCTTATTGGAGCACAAGACCCTTGACCTTTATTGTCTATTTCTTCTACTCCAAGCCCCCCAACCCCTAGCCACAAAAAAAAAAAAAGAAGATAGTTACAATGAAGACCCAAGCAAAGAAAATACTACCAAAAAGTTCTACTAATAAGTTAGAAGTTGTATTTTCTATTTTATAACTAGTTATTAAAAACTGCTCACTTGTCATTGGGACTTTTTAGTTGTTATGTTTTTTCCTTGAGACTTTATTGCAATTTTTCCACAAAATTCAGACCAAACAAAGATCCTTTTTGAAAACATACAATTAACTTGATAAAATCATTGATCATATACTCCTTGGGTCCTAAATATAAGACCATTTTTGCAGTGTAAATTACACTATAAAAGGGGCCTTATATTTAGGACCGAAGGAGTATTAAATAAGGAATATTATACATGTTAATACAATTTTTGGTCCCTTAAATTTGTTTTTATTTTGATTCTGGTCTGTCAAGTTTGAAACTATAGGTTTTTGTCACTCAAGTTTCTTTTTATTTAAAATTTTATCCCTATAATTCCATAAAAACCTAAATTTTTTTGCTCATTGAAGGACCAAAATCTATTATTTAAAATTTAAAAGACTAAAACTAAAATTCATTCAAATTTAAGATATCAAAGATTTTATTAATCCAAATCATACAGCAAAAGTTGATAAAATAGGATAAGAAAAAGCGGTTAAGATCCACAAGACCATTCAGCATATTTTATTTTTGCATGTAATGACTATGATATGATCTAATGATGCAACAAATGATAAGAGTACCTGGATAATCCAATAAAGCATCAACCTCAAAACAACAAATACAAAAGAGACAAGGAACAATAGATCCAATGAAGTATCAATCTCAAACAAGAAATGCAAAAGAAAAAGGATCAGTGGAATTTAGTTTCACCCATTTAAAAGTCTATAGACTCCTACAACATAAAGAAATTGTAACAAAGCAAGTGGTGTGGCTTTAAATATTGTGCTGTGTTTGGTATGATGGAACTTGTGTCAAAGAATTGGAAGTGGAAGTGGAAGTAGAACCCATAAATTGGATTGTTTGTTTTGTGTGAACCCACCTCCCTGTGAAACCCAATTCC